ATGTCCAATGTTCTTCTGACATTTGAGACCCCAGCTTGATTTCAATGTCCTGTTGGTTTTCCTTCCAACCCAGGTGTGAAACGAAGAGACCCCGACAAAGGCTAATATGTTCCTTTGCCTCTGCAGCTTAAAACGGTACCCTCACAATACTCAAAATACGCAAAAGCCGAGGGAATAAAACATTTTTCCAGGGGAGCCCCCAAAAACCGAAAACTCCCCGCCTCCCCCCCAAAACGCCCCTCCCCCCCCCCGCTCCCCCCGGAGGGAGATCTCTCGCCTAGGCGGGGAGCGAGACTTGGAGGAGGAGGAGCGGCGCCGGGAGCCCTTCCTCTCTTGCTGGTGCCTGGCGCAAAATTCAGCGAACCGCCCAGTCACCCGAGGAGTTCAGAAGAGAGATGCGCTGAACCGTTTTTGGGGTCGTTTTTCTCATGTGCAAGTGGGTGTTATCGCGTTTTGGTTGGTACGGGAAAGAAGGAACGCGAGGGGATCACTTGGTGTCTGGAATGTGCAAGAAGACTTAGGTGTTAGAAGTAGATGGTGAAAATGAGAGGGTCTGGCTGGTGGTGGAACAGGCTTCAGCTGGTGAAGAAGCAGTGGTGGTTGTGCCTGTCTCATTGTAAATGGCTGTTAGCTGGCTACTGAGAGTAACTCACTCTTAGTCATATCGAACTCAGACGGCCGGCCCTAAGGCCGCCCCTAATTACGATCATGCCGCCCCAACACACGCGCACAGTTGGTGGCTACGGACAACAGCCCAAACACAGCAACCCGCGCCTCATGAAAATCTCGCGAGCTGTCAGGTGCGTGTTGCCACCGTTGCTGATGTCGTCACCTCGGGTGTCCCCGCCAAAGCGATCACCCTTGCCGCCTTTGCCCTTGCCACCACGATCATCCCGGCGGTCATCCCGGCGGTCGTCGCGGCGGTCATCCCGGCGGTCATCGCGGCGATCATCGCGACGACGATCGTCACGGCGGTCATCGCGGCGGTCGTCTCGGCGGTCGTAGCCTCCGCCGCCACCACCGCCACCGCCGCCCCCGCCACCGCCGCCGCCGCCACCCACAGACACGTTCACAGCTCGCATCTTGCCCTTGCGGTCATCATACTCAGCATCGAAGCTCACCTTATCTCCCTTACCCAGTCCCTTGCATCCGCGCAAAGCAGAGGTGTGGCAGAAGAGATCCTCGCTGCCGTCATCAGGACCTGTCGTGCGGCCGTACGATTGTCTGCCAAACCTGAAAAAAAAAAACAAGCAGATTCTCTCTGCAAAGCACACAAAGGCACACGCACTGTTTCAAGACACTCAGGGGCTTCCCTTCCAGCTCTTGGCAAAATGCAACGTGCATCTGTGGGCTTTCAGTCTTTGGTCGGTCCTGCCTATGAAGCCAAAGCCCTTGTCCTCGTTCCAATTCTTCACCACGCCGGACTTGGACATGCCTCTCAAACAGTCTCAGCTGGCTGCCATCAGCCAAGCCACTCTACAATCCGACCAACCTGCTGACATGCAACAATTCCGAAACTCATGGCCCATGCCCCGCCTTGCAGGAGAAAAACCGCTGCCGCCGCGACTGCTCGAGTCTGTGATTCAATCAAAATGGCTGCAGCACGTGTCCGTTGTGCCAGGAAGTCCACAGCAATATCCCAAGCAAGATACGGTAAAAAAAAAGTAAGAGCAGGCATTGTTGAGCAGTGATGGCGCAACACACCTTCCCAAAAAGGAGACACAACCCAAGCTGAAAGCATGCGTGCAGCCCCCAGCCCAGGAGCTTTCAATGCTCGATGCCGTCCCCGCAAACGTCAGCATCCCTTTGACGGCTTGCACGTGGTGCAATTCTGAGCGACTTTGGAGCCTCCAACCTGTGAGACGTGAGAAGAATACTGGGACTCGATGGAAGAGCGCTCTCGCATTCCGCGCTGAAAACTCAGCAAATGAACACCTTCCATGCACAATTCGTTAACGGGAAAACGAAACAACACAAACAAATCCAAAGCAAAACAAATGCAAAACACTGTAACTTGTCCCAAAGTCGTTTATTTTGTGCAATGATGTGTGCTGTTGTTGTTTGTGTGGCCTTTAACTATTTGGCTGTTTACTTGTCTCTGGCTAACTTTGTTCTACAAAAGTCTATTGAATTTACCATGTCCCTGAAAGAATCATGGACCGTTGGTGATGTTGTCTGTTGTTCGCACATCATCATTGAGCCCTCCAATCGTCATATTGCAGAGTTGAGGAGCTTTCAGGAATCCAACCCTGAAGGCAAACAAACGGCATCTAACACCCTTGCTGCTGATCGGCTCATTTACATCGCCTTCCATCGATCGCGGCTACACGACAACATTTGCCAAAGCCTTTCCAGCCAACGGGCCTGAAAGCAGCATGGTTCCACAAAAATCCCCAGCTCAACCCAATGAAGCCTCTGTTGATCCGGTGTTGACATGGAAAGGCCCTGAAATCGGGGCTCGGGTATTCAAGGCAGAACCTGTACATTGAGCTACATTGACAATTGTCTGATTCTATCTGATTCTGCAGCCTCTCAGGCAAAGTTGTCTCGTCGGGCCCTGCGAGAAAAAAAAAAGGGCACTTTTACGCATCACGCGCATGAGGTGTGCAAAACATGGAATTCTTCCGCATCAGGCATCTGTCTGACTCCTTCAAAAGCCCACCTTCAGCATTTCAGATGCTGCAAGCGCCCTCAACAAGCGTTGTGCATTTGGATATGACTACAGGGAGCCGGAAAATCTGTGTCCGTGCAATGCGCCGTGGAAAACAGGCTTGTGCATACTTGGTTCCCTGTCGGATTGGTTGAGGACAAGGTGCTCGTGACATAGGCATGCGTGCTGTGGTCAAAACTCCGACGTAGATAATGGTGATGATTGCTTTATGGGCTTTGACCATATCAAACGTCAAACAAAGGAGGCAGCTCTCCTACAAGAAGGTATTGTGCTTGAGACCTGCGCTACCATAGCAAGGAACATACTGGTGCTCAACAAAAGGAGAACGGCAAACGATTGCCAAGATCATGGGTATGTCTCAAAATGGGGGGCGACACTTCTAAGTGGCTTCCTTTAACTAGTCCTTCACACCTCGCGCCAAACACACAATTCCTACAAGACATACCTGGACATACTCGCCTCCTTGGTTGTGACCCTGTGTCAGCCAACACCTACTCTTCGCGCCTGGGTGGAGGGGAGCGGGAATTCGAGGAGGAAGAGCGACGCCGGGAACCCCTCCTCTCTTGCTCGTGCCTGGCGCAAACACGTTGGAACAAGACTCAAGCGCAAGTAAATGGCAAAAAGGTGCAAGTGGCTTGAACGGCTGAAGAAGCAGTCGTAGTCGAGGCTGTCAAAAAATCAATGGCACAACACTGGAAGTCACCCATGCTTGGACGTCATTGCAGTCATGTCCAACTCGGACGGCCGCCTAAAACCGGCCCTGAGATAATGCCGCAAAAACACACTCACACACACACACAGAGGAAGCTAGAAACAGCTAAGCCGCGCCATGCCGCGCCTCATGAAAATCTCGCGAGCTGTCAGGTGCTTGTTGCCACCGTTGCTGATGTCGTCACCTCGGGTGTCCCCGCCAAAGCGATCTCCCTTGCCGCCTTTGCCCTTGCCACCACGGTCATCCCGGCGGTCATCCCTGCGGTCGTCCCGGCGGTCATAGTCGCGGCGGTCATCGCGACGGTCATCGCGGCGATCGTCTCGGCGACGATCGTCACGGCGGTCATCACGGCGGTCGTAGCCTCCACCACCACCGCCACCGCCACCGCCGCCACCCACAGACACCTTCACAGCTCGCATCTTGCCCTTGCGGTCATCATACTCAGCATCGAAACTCACCTTATCACCCTTACCCAGTCCCTTGCATCCGCGCAAAGCGGAGGTGTGGCAGAAGAGATCCTCGCTGCCGTCATCCGGACCTGTCGTACGGCCGTACGTCTGTCTGCCAAACCTGAAACAAACACAAGCAGATTCTCTCGGCAAAGCACACAGCACATGCACTGTTTCAGGACACTCCGGGGCTTCCCTTCTGTTGGCATAATGCTGCATGCATTCTGCGAGCATTCAGTCTTTGGCCGATCCTGCCTATGAAGCCAAAGCCCTTGTCCTCGTTCCAATTTTTCACCACGCCGGACTTGGACATGCCTGCTTTCAGCATACTGCCACCATCCACCCCACAATCCGACCAACCTGCTGAAATGTAATCTGAAACTCGCAGCCCATGCCCCGCCTTGCAGGAGCAACAAACAACTGCCTCTGTATTTTCTCGAGTCTGAGATTCAAACAAATGGCTGCAGCAAAGACCAGCCTGTGTCGGTTGTGACAGGGAGTCACCTGCAATGTCCCGAGCAAGGTACACTGGGGAAATAAGTGAGGAAGTGAGAAACTGAGATGCAAATGCGACCATCTAAACCACAATCCAGGAGTGGTCAATCCTTGATGCCGTGAACCTCGCGAACGTTGGCATCCTTTTGGCGGCTTGCACGTACAGGTGCAATTCATAGCGAACGGGACCGCTTTGGAGCCCCGAAAATGTGAGACGCGGTTCAGAATACTCGGACTCGACGGAAGAGCGCTCTCTCATTCCGCGCTCGACTCGAGAGCAAGAAACCGTTCCACACAAGTGTACGCCATAAACAGTGCAACATGGTTCCCCAACCAAATGGTCGACTTTGAGGTTTCAAAGTGGGTCATGTCTGATGCTTGATCACATTCCTGGCATTCCCGTTCTCTCTCAAAGAATCACAGGCCAGCGATGCTGACATCATGGAGCCAGCCACGGGCTGCAAAGTGTTGGGGCGTTCAAATGAATGAAACATTGGCATCTACTCAGAAGCCCAGTTGCCATGGGAAACCAAGGGCATCCTCTTAATGGTTGGTTGAGTTTCAACGGGAACCCTGGCCAAAATAGAGAAAGACTGGTCGCCACTGCGCAACTGGGGATACCTGCCAAACGAAGGTTTAATAACATATCCCTCGCGGTGTCAAACATTCATGGCCCAGATTGGCATTGTTTCCAGCGTGAAGGAAATAAAGGAAACTGATACCCTCGCTGCTTTTCCGATGTAGGGATTGTGGGATGTTTGCTGATCTTTGCTCATCCGCATAGCCTTCCATCGATCTCGGCTGATTGACAAATATTCGCCAAAGGCGTTCCAGTCAACTGGCCTGAAAGCAGCATGGTTCAACTGGGAGCAGCCCCAGCCAAAACCAATGAAGCCTCTGTTGTTCCGGCCATGTTGACATGGAAAGGTCCTCACATTGGGGCACAGGTATTGAAGGCAGAACCTGTACATTGAGCTACATTGATACATTGAGATAACTGATGGAGCAGCCACCCCATCTCTCTCCTCTCAGGCAAAGTTGTCCCGTCGGGCCCTGCAGAAAGAGCATCCATGACTTTCACGAATCACGCGTATGGGGTGTAAAAAAAAAAAAACAGCACAACATGTTGCCCTTAATCCGGCATCCATTTGACTCCTACAAAAGCCCGCTTTCCGATACTGCAAGAATGAAACCAGCTTGCACAGATTTGGTCCCTTGTCGGATTGGTTGGGAGAAAGGTGCGCTTGACATAAGCATGCGCGCAGAGGTCAAAACTCCGGCATAGGTGATGGTGATGGTTGCTTTATGGGAACCCTCAGAACCATGTCAAACGGCAAAAACAAAGCGCAAAGGAGAGGCCGTGTTCAAGAACTGTTCTGCCATAGCAAGGCACATGTTGGTGATCAACAAAAGGAGAACGGCAAACATGTACCAAGATCATGGGTATGTCTCAAAATGGGGGGCGACACTTCTAAGTGGCTTCCTTTAGCTAGTCCTTCACACCTCGCGCCAAACATACAAACCCTACAAGACATACCTGGACATACTCGCCTCCCTGGTTGTGAACTTGTGTCAGCCAACACCTACTCTTCGCGCCTGGGTGGAGGGGAGCGGGAATTCGAGGAGGAAGAGCGACGCCGGGAACCCCTCCTCTCTTGCTCGTGCCTGTTGGAACGAGAATCAAGCGTAAGAAGCAAATGGTAGAAAGGTGCGTGAGTTGAACGGGTGAAGAAGCAGTGGTAGAAGTGGCTGTCAAGGTATTTATGGTACAATACCGGAAGTCAGGCTTGCAAACTGTTGCAGTCATGTCAAACTCAGACAGCCGCCTAAGGCCGCAAATCAGATCATGCCGCCCCAAAATACACTCACAGACGCACGCGCACACACACACACAGAAAGCTAGAAACAGCTAAGCCGCGCCATGCCGCGCCTCATGAAAATCTCGCGAGCTGTCAGGTGCTTGTTGCCACCGTTGCTGATGTCGTCACCTCGGGTGTCCCCGCCAAAGCGATCTCCCTTGCCGCCTTTGCCCTTGCCACCACGGTCATCCCGGCGGTCATCCCTGCGGTCGTCCCGGCGGTCATAGTCGCGGCGGTCATCGCGACGGTCGTCGCGGCGATCGTCTCGGCGACGATCGTCACGGCGGTCATCACGGCGGTCGTCACGGCGGTCGTAGCCTCCACCACCACCGCCACCGCCACCGCCGCCACCCACAGACACGTTCACAGCCCGCATCTTGCCCTTGCGGTCATCATACTCAGCATCGAAACTCACCTTATCTCCCTTACCCAGTCCCTTGCATCCGCGCAAAGCGGAGGTGTGGCAGAAGAGATCCTCGCTGCCGTCATCCGGACCTGTCGTACGGCCGTACGTCTGTCTGCCAAACCTGAAACAAACACAAGCAGATTCTCTCGGCAAAGCACACAGCACACGCACTGTTTCAAGACACTCCGGGGCTTCCCTTCTGTTGGCATAATGCTGCATGCATTCTGCGAGCATTCAGTCTTTGGCCGATCCTGCCTATGAAGCCAAAGCCCTTGTCCTCATTCCAATTTTTCACCACGCCGGACTTGGACATGCCTGCTCTCAAGCACAATTCGACCCACCTGCTGACATGCAACAATCACATCCGAAACTCCTGGCCCGACATATATAGCCAGCCTTGAAGAAGAGAGACTGCCGCTGCGACTGCTGAAGTCTGTTAAACCAAAATGGCTGCAGCTAAGACAGCGTGTAGTCATTCATTCATGTGTAGTCATTCAGGACATCTTGGCTTTCTTTTGGCCTCCATGGTTTCCCTTCACATCTCTTGGCTCAAACGAGGCACGCCTCGCACGCGCAGAACGCTCCTTTCCTTCCGTCCGCCGCCGCGTTTTGTGGCATAGACCGGCAGACCGGCAACGGCTCTTCAGAAGCTTGGACCCAACCCGGAGGACACCAAGGTCCTCCAGTAGAGAGGTTAGAATAGGGGTACCCACTTTTTTCGGTAGTCTATTTTAGACACGGGAACTCTAGCTGGGCAAGGGGAGAGCAAGGAGAACCCTGCAAAAAAGGGGAGAGCAAGGGCACCTAGCTGGGGGACCTAGCCATGGTACACCATGAATGCAGAGGTTGCTTCAGTGCATATGATGGGTGTCTTTTCTTTGAGGGTACCCCTTGTTTGGTGGTTTTACAGGAAACACCACTCTGGGGGGGGTCCCCTAAAAAAACACACACGCACACGCACATATGTAGAACATCGTTTTGGAGGAAACCCTAAACTTCAGGAATGCTTCAGACAGGGTTCCCCCCAAAGCACGGCTTGTTTGGACGGCGCTCGGGGTTTTCGATATGGGACACATCTGTCATTGGGGGGTGGGGGGCTGGTGCATGCCCCCTTCAAACATCTTCCCACCAAGGAAACTCACTTGAGTCACAATCAAAACCCGGTATTAATGTCTACCCAAAACCATGCAATGTAAAGACTTAAGAAGGCGGCCGAAGCTGTTTCTGGCTGGGATTGGCCCTTCCTAACCTTCATCTACTCGGGTTTTGATTGTGGCTCAGGTGAAGCTAGAAGAAAAGGACAGACAAAACCACACAATGCAAGCCAAGAGCATTTTTGTCGGGCGGCTGGAGATGAGCACTTGCAAAAACTCCGAAGCAATCGCCAGCCGATCGGTTGCTCCCGTACCGATTTGATCGGGGCCGCACTTTTGGTCAAAGGGAAACCAAGGGCCAATCTTCCAGCAACTTGACCACCTTTGTTTGGTAGCGAAAACGTTGTTTTTTGCAGCCCCCCCCCCCCCCCCCAGTCAAACTAAAAACCTACAAACGTGCCAACAACAGTGACTGTTCTCAAGATGCTTGGGTCCCGGTGGTTTCCTTTAGTTAGTGGATCCCAGGCGTTTCGGCACTATAAATAATGGGTAACAAGCCATCCTCCTTTTGGCGTTGCATGGTTAGCAAGCCCTTGGTTGCCTACCATTCTAGGGCTACCTTCCCCATTCCTTCCAGGGATCCTTCTTTTGAATAGAACGATGGTTGAAAAGAATGGAAATGGAATCAACCCCTGGAACCATACTGGCTTGCCTGGAGTTACTTGGCGTTTGAGTTTGACCACTCGGTACTTCTGAAGATGTCCACCACTCGGCCATGCTGGCCAGGCCAAAGCTTGGGACATCGATCCGCCCTCGCGCAAGGCGGATCGATGGCTTTGCAACTTCACTCGCCCTGGCAATGGAGGTGGACACATCGGTGCCCAGGGGTCCAAGTAACTTAGAAGGTCAAAGCCTTGGACGCTTTAACACAATCTCGGTCCAAGTATCTTCTTAGACCCTTCCACCCCCCAAATAGCAATACTCAGGAGATACTTGGACTCTCTGGGCAGAGTAATTATTATGAAACCTGCCATTGCCCTTTTGGTGTTCAAAGGCTGGGGAACCCACGTTGATCGATACAGGGAAATGGAAACTGGGTACGGGTTGACTTGATTCCTGGTGCATTCTCAGATATCAGAACGTTCTGGAAAATCAAACGGTTTCCTATGGGCCTAGATCGGTGCCACATTGACCTCACTTTCCGGGAGAAACTTTCTACCGCTCGAAAATGATCTTCCAACACGTGGCCCTAAAGAACAATACACTGTTTGGTTTACCTGCAATTCTCTGTTCTAGGTCCTCCAGCAGAGAGGTTAGAATAAGGGTACCCTTCTTTCTGTAGTCTGTTTTAGTAGGGGAACCCTCCCCAAAAAAAGTAAAAGGGCACTCACTACTGGGCGATCTAGTTCTTGTTCAATCAGACACTGTCATGGGAAACCGAGAGAAACCAGCCTGGACCACCTGCTCTGTGTTTTGGAGGTGCTCCCAAAGAACATCAAAGCACATGAACCCCTGTTTCTCAACACGAGGCATGTCGCAAGGTTCCTGCGTTTGGCTTTGCCATCACCATTTTACTTGAATGATCTGCACTCCACAAAATGGCTCATCCCATGCTTGCCTTTTCCATTCCTTGGTTCAATTCTCTTTCAGGCATCTGCGTTTTGCCCAACTCAAACAAGGCGGACCAAGCGATCCCAGGACTTATATCCAGATTCCAACCAAATGTAAAATAGAACAAACTGCCCCTAGGTAAACGTCGGGTTTGACCATACAACTCTGAAGAACTCGAGTACAATGGTCTAATCCGAATGAGGAACCACCCCTGCTTAGTATTGTCCTCCTGGTTCATCCGAAATCGGAATCAATAGAAAATATGTCTCGCCGTTCCATGCATCTGGGCAATGGGCAAATTGCTACAACTCAAAAGCCGGAAATGAGGAAGACTAGCCAGAAACCTTCATCATGGATAAGCTCGTGCTACCCGTCGGCAAGGTGTAAGCCGAAGATTCTCAGCGTTGGGAAGAACCACTGAGCCTCGTTGGGCCCTTGACGTCCCAAGCTTGGTACATGTTGCCCCAGGGCCTAAAGCCGAGGGGGCAGGGTTCGTAAGAAAGCCCACGAGAACCAAGGCAGCCATTGTATCTCAAGGGGGATCTGGCTGGCTCGCCTTGCTTTTAAGGGAACCCATTGTTGGGACGTCTTAACCGGGAGACAAAAAGGAAAACTCGCACTTTAGTGGATTCCACTAAAAACACAAACACATATATGAGTCGTCATGGCTTCTAAGCGACTGACGAACCCGATCGCCCCAAAAGAGCCCCCCCCCCCGCCGCCGGATTCCCTCAGGCGAAGTTGTCGCGGCGAACCCTGGCCGATGCTCGAGTCGTTGGGAAGGGAGGGTGCCTTGTGGGTCCACCTGTGTGTGTGTGTGTGCGCGTGCGTGTGCGTGTCTGCGTGCGTGCGTGCGTGCGTGGGTGTGAGTGTAAGTGTGCAAGTGCGTGCGGGTGCGGGTGCGGGTGCGGGTGCGCTTGCGCGTGCGGGTGTGGGTGTCTAGGTGTGGGTATGAAGGTCCCCCAATGTTCACACATGCCCACCGGGTTTCACAGGGAATAGAGCATGCCTGTAGGCCCCACGCATGGCTGACCTAGTGGGCGTGGGGTCACGCTACCGCTAGTTTATTGCTTGCTGGCTTACTTGCTTGCTTGCTTTTATACGTGCATGCTTGCCTGCTTTCTTGCTTGCGGCCGTGGGTGTTTGTTTGCTCGGTTGCTTGCTTACATGTGTTCTAGGTTGCCTACTTGCATGTGTTCGTTTGCGAGTTTTGTTTGTTTGCTTGCTTTGTCTGACTTTGTTTTTGATTGTTTTTGATTGTTTGTTTGTTTGTTTGTTTGATTGTTTGTTTGTTTGCTTGCTTGCTTGCTTGCTTGCTTGCTTGCTTGCTTGCTTGTTTGTTTGTTTGTTTGTTTGTTTGTTTGTTTGTATGTTTGTTTGTTTGTATGTGTGGTTGTCTGTCTTTTCATGTGTTTGTTCCTTTCTTTGCTTGATTGTTTTCTTGCTTGGTTGCTTGGTTGGCTGGTTGCCGTTTGGTTAGATTATTGTTTTGCGGTTGTTTGTTCATTTCTTGATTATTTTGCTTGTTTTGCTGTTGTTTGTTTGTTTGGTTGGTTGGTGGCTTGCTTGCTTGCTTGCTTGCTTGCTTGCTTGCTTGCTTGCTTGCTTGCTTGCTTGCTTGCTTGTTTGCTTGCTTGCTTGCTTGCTTGCTTGCTTGCTTGCTTTAGTTGATGGTTGGTTGGTTGGTTGGTTGGTTGGTTGGTTGGTTGGTTGGTTGGTTGGTTGGTTGGTTGGTTGGTTGGTTGGTTGGTTCGTTGGTTCGTTGGCTCGTTGGCTCGTTGGCTCGTTGGCTCGTTGGTTCGTTGGTTCGTTGGTTCGTTGGTTCGTTGGTTCGTTGGTTCGTTGGTTAGTTGGTTCGTTGGTTCGTTGGTTCGTTGGTTGGTTGGTTGGTTGGTTGGTTGGTTGGTTGGTTGGTTGGTTGGTTGGTTGGTTGGTTGGTTGGTTGGTTGGTTGGTTGGTTGGTTGGTTGGTTGGTTGGTTGGTAGGTAGGTTGGTTGGTTGATTTGTTGGTTTATTGTTTGGTTTGTTTCTTCGTTCATTGTTGCTTTGAGTTGGCACCGTGTGTTGGGTTGAAGGTGAACCAGAAACTCAGGGAGTGAGTTCTGCCATTGTTTTGAGGCTTGCACCACATGACACATGAGCGGGTGGATTTGTAGAGTGACCACCCAAATATGTTCAGATTCTTCAAATTGTGTCAAATCTCTGAAAAACATCAGTGCTTTGGAGGACACACCAAAAAACAGCTAGGGCAATCTCAGGGCATCCACTAAACCACCCGATCGAAGCTCCGATTGCATTCTGGCTGGCAGAACACTCGCCAGAGCGGCTCCATGAGAATCCTGAGCCCCGGCCGAGGAACGGCACCCGGAAAACGCCGAAAAGAGAAGTCACGCAAGTTCCAGCCCAACAAAAACCATGGGTAATCAAGGCCAATGGCTTCATTTCCCGTGTTTTGTGGGGTAACAAAAGGATTTCCACCCCCTTGCAAAACCAACAAAAACACGGGGGGGTGGGGGGGCGTACATGTGTGGCAGGGGCATAAGGATGGTGCATGGTGGCGCTATCTTTGCCTTCCTTAATGGCGTGCTGTGGCAGACACAAGTATAAATTGCATTCCTGTCTGCCAGCCTCCCTACGCACGTGCCTCCTGGTGGGTGTGTCCTGTCTTGCGGGGATGATCAAGTGGGGGATATGAATCAGTGGTCAGCAAAGGATGTTCAAATAACCAGAAGCTTATTGGCAAAAGCAGTATCTTGTGCTGAGGATCGGTGTCCGTTTTGCAGGTGCTGAGGGAAACCCAAATAAAGCCCGTCATTGTTCTGGACCCCCCAAGTCTTCGAGGTTGAAAGGCCTTATCAACGCAAAATCAACCAACTACTGTGGATGGACGAAATCCTGCACCACCTTTCAGAAACTCTGGTTTCTGATGATTCCCCTGCAAATACCCAACAATAGTTTCAACCATGGTTTCTTAGGTGGAGTTCGTCCATCCAGAGTAGGGCTTTGTCGGTTGGGGTAGAGCGGACTTGTAAGGTGCCTGACTAGACGGCTTGAAGGGAGGGAGCCAAGGCGGACTTAGAATCCTGTCACGAAAATCGAATCACGGCAACCTACTGTGGATGGACAAAATCCATTTCGCACCACCTAAGAAACCATAGTTGAAACCATAACATTTGTTGGCATTTGCCCAGGGAAGTCTCAGAAACCAGGATTTCTGGAAGGTGCGAATTGGATTTCGCCCATCCAGAGTATCACGCGATTGGGCCCTGTGTAGAATTTTAGTAGTGCTGAAAGAACAAGCTACCCGAAACACAAGGGGATCCACGTCCAAATAGAGTCTTGGCCGATTCTCCACCGTGGTTCACACCATGGGTAACCAAAGCCAATGGCTGCGTTTCCCGTGTGTGGCAACCCAGAAGATTCCCACCCCCTGGCAAAACCAAAGGGGCAATGGCAAAGGGTCACCTACAGTGGCTTGCCAAAATTGTGGTTTTCCTGTTGGTTGTCTTTCCAAAACCATAAAAAGGTGCCAACTCCAAAAAAGCCACGCCGATATGGATGGTTCATAGGGGTAAACCTACTAAAAGCGGCGATCGGACTTAGTAAGTGGGTAATAACCATGGCTATCACCCGCCAAAGTTAAGGTTATACGTAAGTGTTCAAGTCATGTCAGAGGTGATCTCTCCAGGTGAGCTTGCAACAGAATAGGCAGATAGATGGTTCATGGGGGCAAAGCTTAGAGCCCGGCTTAACCACTTACTAGGTACCCGTTCGCCCATTTAAGTACAAAAATGGCTGTGGGTCAAAACCAATGGTACCATTTGGGGGTAGGTGCACCATCTTTTGGTGTGGATTGGGATGTTCACTGCGGGAACGATTTCGATTTTGACCCATAATGTGTGCAGATCCACCTCTAGGGAGGGTAATAAGATCGCAATCAGAACCTCTCCAGGTGAGCTCGCAATTAAACAGGCAAATAGATGGGTCATAGGGGTAAACCTACAAACATGTGTGCAGATCCGAGCCGAACCGCGCCGAGAGTCGTGGTATTGGAGACCATCTCGTTGGCGAAGGCCGGCGGCTGCTGCGGGAAGGCCTTGCGGATCACCTGACGCCGAGATCGCAATCAAAGACGAGAGGTGGAACATATGTATCAGTATGTCTATATATATATATATATACGTATACACATATGCTACATATATACACTACATATATATATATATATATACATACTACATATGTACATAAACTACATATATTATATATATATATTATATATTACATACCTATACTACATATATTATACATCTGGATATACCCAGCCTCTCAGCATACCAACTGTTGAAAACATGGGTTATTGCAGCCCAAGATGGGTTATGTATGCCTTTGTTGGCCTAATATACCTGGACCCTCAAACTACCAACTTAAAAATGGGTGATTGCAACCCAAACATATGGCTGGTCAATTCCCTTTTTGCAAGGTAGTTTGAGGGAAAAATATATATGTGTATACATATGTATATATAGTAGTGTGTGTAAGGGCAAGAATAATTGCTACCTTTGTTGGCCGGTCATGACTTGAACTGTTGTTGCTTTTTTCCACATGGTTTCTCACGCTTGTTGCTACTGTCTAGGGGCAAGTCCAAGGGAGTCGGCACAGGGTGGGCGGCGGTAGGGTGTCTTAGAAGAGGCGTTGCCTCGGTTCTTGGTGGCAACCCTCTGCGAAGCCTTTGGAACTGCTTCTGAGGCCAAAACCGCTAAGGGCCCAGGGAAACCTTCCAAGAGCGGGCGAGCTAGTGCAAGCTCCTGTTCGCACGGAAACAAATCAAGCTTCTGAAAAGTATCAAGCCAAGTCCGCTGGAAAAAGACAACATGTGTCCAGTAGTGATAGATTCCATGGACAATTAAGCGCCCATACTCTCAACCAAATGGAAGCAACTGATAACATGGCAATGGGTAACACGGCCCAACCTCCCTTGTGGACCTTGCAGGCTTGGTCCCGCGAGAGACACAATAGCCAGAGAGGCAGGTTAGCAGGGCTCCAGTTTTTGAGCGAACCCGCTCAGGTAGACTCAACTTCGTTTCCCTCTGATTGGTGGTTTGGAGCCCGGTGGCTTGGTTGTTGAGGGCTGGTTTCCCATTGACCCTCTACACAAGCCAGGGTTCAAATCCAAATCCAAACCCGCAATCCAAACAACTAAGGGGGAGCTGACAATAGGGGTCCGATCCCCTTTGGAAAAATCAGCCGCGGATTGGACTCTAGGGTGATCAAACAATGGAACCTTGCAGTGCTTCCAATTCCCATACCAGGTAAGCAAGGGCAACGATCATGTAACGCCTGGAGGTAGACATACCTGCTTACCTTCTTAGCGGTAACAGGAAAGCACTGGGCTGGTTAGACATCTTGGGTGTGGATCAAAGTCTTGAGAGCCAAAGGACAAGAGTCTTGAGTCTACTTGTCGATTGACCAGTTGGCTCGTATTTTTGAGCCGCACCCTCGTCGATTTCCGTGGGTTTTGCTGGACAGCACGCACCAAAACACATCGCCCCGACCCATTGCCTTCTGCAGCCGTGTGTAGTAGAGCAGCAGCTGGGTCAACACCTCGCAAAGAAAAACTCGGAAATCAGCTCGTAGAGGCAGGGGTTGGGCTGCATAAATTTCCACATGTTTATTTATATATTGTTTTTAAATGTGTACATGCAATATACATATATAATGTATCATGAAAAAACACATTGCGCATATCAGAATCTGGATCTCAATCTATTTATCTATATATACACATATATATATATATACATACATGTATCTATCCATATAATTTAATGCGTCTGTTTGTATATATATATATATATACACACTTAAACTCACATGCGTTTTAGGCAACCTGCTTTGAGTCATTTGTTTCAACACCCGGAACTAAAGGGGTCTACCCCAACCTCACTTACCCAGGTTTTGAATGTGGCTCCTTGTGGTTCTCTTTAGCACCAGTGAACTAAGCCCCCCGGAACAAATGAGAAAATGTGCCCAGTAATAGACTCCTTTTGACATCAAGGGGAAAATCATCATATGGGTGTGTCTTTTTTGAGTGGAGCTCCCTAAATGGTGGTTGTCCTTTTAGTTTCCGCTGAAAACCGCCCAAAATGTGGTTCGCTCAAAGAAACACGAGCCACCAATGCTCTTAAACAAATGAAAGCACTGTAAGGGAGCTAGTGGGGTGTGGTTCTGCAACCTTCGCAACCAAGATCAACCAAGTTCTCTCTAGCGGAACCACCCAACCAGCCGGGCCAAAAGCAACGAATGGGTGATTTGAAAAAACGATCGTCCAAGTGGATGGTCTTGCTGGTCCTCAGCAGGGAATGAGGGAATGACCCCTATCAACCATCCTCTATGGTTTCCTTCAGGGGACCCCTGGGTTCAGTCCCACATTCCCTACCTATTACACCAGCAAGTGGTTGCTGTTTCTGGCTCTCGCCAGGGACGTTTGCTTGCCAGGCCAAACCCCATCTGGCGGACTCCGGTTCGGCCAACCCGGCCTGCTTCAGTATTCCCATGCCTCAGCGAACAGGGAACTTACCGTTGGCCCATTGGGGCACCGCAGCCCTACAATCAAAAGGGGATCCGAATCCCATTTGGGGGCGTCTGTGCTTGTTGATGCCCTTTTTGGGGTTGGTTCAAAGGGAAACCAATGGAAAACCACCATTTCGGGGGTACCAACTCACCAAAAGACGAGCCACCCATTTTTAGAAACTCCAATTTCATGATCCTTTGCCATGGCACCCAAAGGGAGGTCACTCAACAAACCATGTGATAGCCATTGGGGGTTTCTGGTGTGTGTTTCCTGCTTTGCGGTAACCCTTTATGGGTAAATCTGTATACATATATATATATAGCAAAGTTCAAAGGAAAACCAAAGGAACAAGATTGTCGCTTGCAAGGATATGATGCTTGGATTGAAACTAGAGGAACCTCCCTTAAGATCTAGGGGCAGCTTCTCAATTCTTTTCAGGGTCCTTCATGTAGAACACCAACCAAAACCCCTGGAGGAAACAGCTGATTTTCAAAACAAGGGTTGGAATCAACAACCATTTTGAAGGGTCCCTAAATAAAGACATAGACAATTGGGCACCCCGAAAAATGACCTCTACGCAAGCCCTTCTTTGGTCAATGCTTTCGCAGCCGTGAAAGAAAGGTTCTACACTTTCAGGTGTATTCTTCGCTAACTAAACCGACCGCTCCCTCCCCCCCTCGCCCTGGAAGCTAGCTAAGTGAGTCCCAAATACCCCTTGTAAACCCTTGTAACTAGGGTTGCTTACAACTTATCTAACCCTCAGACCATCTAAGCATGTCTATTTATAGGACAAAGTCCACTAACCGCAACATATTCTAGAGGGTATGGATCCCATCTTTTCCGGTTCTCGGTGGTGGACACTCTCTTGCACCATTGCCGTATCTCCCAAGCCCAGTAGAAAAGGCCGGCGGTTTTTTGATTGACTCCGGGCAACCCTTCGCTGAAGAAATGAGTCATATCACAGAACCCATGCTTCATGAATTGATTTATGGCGGATATCCGCACTCATGGCCGGAAATATCCATTATTACCCTCCAAGGACCCGGGTTTTGAGCGAGTGACTCAAATGGCCATGGGTCAAAACATCCATACCCCAGTGGACATCCCAATCCCCACTAAAATAGACTTGCCCCAAAATGGGATACCATTGGTTTTGAACCACGGCACTCGAAACCAACTCGCAGGGGTCGTGCCATGAGATCCTGAGAGCCAAGCCATTGCTGAAGTTGCTGAAGGACACCATGACATATTGGTGGATCTGATCTCTCTCCTGCTGAGTCTGTCTCTTTGAAGGGCACCCCCCTTTGGGGTCTCCTTTGGGTCTCCTGCTTTTTCCTTTGGTTTTTCATTTGGGACACCACTGCCATCATGGCTTTCCTCTTTGCTTTGAAACCAGAAAAGATGGTCCCCCAAAACAAGACACCCTGGTGTTTGCCAGATGACCGACACTGCACGCCACATGTTCTCTTCCATGGGATCCGACCTGTTTCCCCCGTGCCCTACTTCCTAATCCTGCTTTATCCCAAAAAGACGGCCCTGTCTCCCACCCAGGTCCTTCAAAACCCCACCAGGATGCAATCACATGGGATAACATGCTGCAAGGCTCGCATTTTTAAGGGCAAACCCCTCAAAAAAGACATTCCTACACCAGCGCCCCCACAACACTAGTACAAACAAAATTTCACGCAAGGTCGCACAAAACGGTTCTTCAGTGCTGACAACAGGTGAATTTTCTGGTTTCCTCATCCAGAGGGTTGCTTTGTACCTCTTGAGGCCTTCTAGGGGTAAAAAGGAGTGGTTCAGTGCATTCTTAGACGGTACCGTCGAGAACCTACTGTTAGTCATGCCACCAACATGTTCAAAAAGCTACTTGGCTTGGCTGTTTTACGCGAGAATTCTGGGCGTGCACGGTGCGTCCTTGTGCTGCCATGAACCTTTCTAAGATTCACGTACAGAGAAGTCAACTTGAAAAGGCGTTAAAGGACAGGACCCGCAAGCTCAAACACGAAGAAACTGTCCGCCTCTCTCAGCTGGGCGAGACGAAACGTGTTTCGCGCGCTTCGCTGGCTCTCCTTCTTCCAGTTGGCCGCGAAGCTGCGAACCACCTGCCCGGGCTGCAAAGCTGAAGGGCAGGTGCTGAACCCCTAGACGATTTCCACCCCCCAAACCGAAGCTACCCCCAGAATTTGGATGGGAGAATGTAGCCACGAGAGGGGTCTTTTTGAACAAAGAGATGACCCCAAACAGCCCTGGTAGATTATGAAACACGCAGGTCAACCAAGAATCGCCATCTATTTTCTAACATAACAACCAGGCGGACACCTATGCGTGTAGATTTCTTGAGGCGGTGCCAAGACTACCATTTCCCAGAACCTCCTGATGGCTTTTGGGGTTGTTAAAAAGGAGTCGTCTGAATGTACCTGCTTAGGTACCAGTGCACCCTCTGGGTAAAGAATCATGGGTTATTCAGCGAGAACAAGAGGCAGACATCTCCCATTGATCTCTGCCTGCTCCATCTTCTGCACATCAACGCCTGCCGGGCATCGACGGAATGAGTCTTACGTCTGTTACTAAAGGATCCACCTGGACCCTCAAACTATTCACAAATAAAGGGACGCCCGCACATAATTTGAGCTCAATAACCAATTTGTATGGGAAGTTTGAGGGTCCAGGTGCCCAAAATCTATAGTAAATCCAAAGGGGTTCTTTCCGCACCATTGGCTGGGACAGTCTCTGAACCTACACTTACCCGTTCCTTTTTGTTGTGACTCATGTCCCGTGGATGCTTGAGGTTGCAAGCGGAAGATTCTTGGACCCTGAGGTCTCGATGTTGCCTTAGTCGATGGTTCCATCTTGTAGAGGGCAAGATGAAACTAAAGAGATGTGACATAAAGTAGGGTGACCTAAATGGGTTCTAACAAACGCGTTCGATCAGATGCTACACACAATTGTCCCTTGGCGCAAGCTGGATCCCAATTGGTCGTTGTGGGATCCATTTGGGGGGTTCTCAAAAAGGGAATCAGTCCCCTGAAATGGTTGGACAGCTCGGAACTCAGAAAATAACTGTGTTGTTAGCCCCCTACTAAAAATGAACTAAACCAACAAACCTAAACACCTAAGCACATGCCAACAACTGTGAAGCTCAAACACTTTGAGTTTCCTTTGGTTTCCTTTGAATGCCAACTAACAGGTGGGTGCACTCATTTGAGGCCTCTGAGATGCAAGGAGTCCCTGCTTGCGTGCCGTAGCATCCCCAGCTTGACGTGTGGGTCCCTACGTCCATCTCCATTTTTGCGGTGCTTCCGAAAAAAAAACACCATGGAAGTCTCAATCTGCAGCATGGTGTTGCACCAATTGAAAGCAAGGATCTGGAATGCCAACAAGCAAATGGAACTTGAGGGCTCGCTCTTTTGGCACATCGATTTCAGAGCCGTGGGCATACAGAGCTGCAACCATTAGCCCACTTCGGGGACTTACAACCTGCCACCAATTGACATGGGTTCCATGGTAATCGCTGGGAAGGTAAACAAAAAATGTCTTAACTTCATAACCATGCATGATTCGAGCTAGGCCCAGTTATAGAATGAAAATCTTCTTGTTTGCTTCACTTTGAGTTACTGGTAAAATGTAAAATGTATCCTAAGTCCACCCCAGCACGGTTACAAGCCGCGTACTCAGTACCCTGAGTCTTTAGCGCCTTTAAAATGGGCTTGTCTCAAAGTAGAGACCCCAAAGTTCCTTTGGGTTTCCCTGCAAAACCACGCCACATGTTATATGTGTCAAAATAGGGGGACTTTCAAGATGCTCGCTTTCCTTTCAGATTGCCAACCTGAAAAGGGCAGCTGCACCCTCACACTACACCCCGGCATGGTGGGGCAAGAACCCATTCTTAAGTTGCCCTCCCACCAACTAACATGGAAGTGCACAAAGCCCCAAAGAGGAAAGTAGTCTTTCTACAGGGGTCCCTGCAATGCCATGTTAGTTGGTGGGAGGGTAGTTGAGGGTCCAGGTACCCTCAAAAACCACACCTCTCCCGAAATGGATACTGAGCATTATTGAGCCTCAAGAGCCACGGGCGCGGGTCGCCTGGCGGCGGCTTGTCGGGGCCCTGGGACCGCGCCGTCTCGTCAATATGCGCCACCGCCTCTCACGCGAGTCGGATGCGAGTCGAGCGGGGGCCGGGCGACACCTCGAAAGGGTCCAAGGGATGGGCTCCCCGATGCTCCTTGAAGAAAGGAACCGGGGAAATCGACCAAAACTTGGCCCCTTGAATATCTCACCAAATCATAGAAAGCGGCAAACTCACATTGACTCTTGGAGTCCCTAAAGAGGGGTGGATTTCTAAGGATCCCAAAAAACCCTAAGCAACCGGAAAAATCAAACATTGGGGAAATCCAACGCAAAGAATGTGTGGCTCACTCACGTGTGTCTTTTACCCACAAACAGAGTTTCAAGCAATCAAGATCCTCTTGGGCAAGCTTCACCAAAAAGGTCCTCCCCTCAAAAGTTCACTGGCTGCGAACTTGCGTGATATTCCTGGTGGGGTGATCCATTCAGGTTGGAGTTGTGCATGTCTCAAAATCGGCGGATTCCAGGTACCATGTGCTAGGTGCCCAAGAAGACAATGATCATCTAACACTATGCAAGCCTATAGGCAGAAAATACCCAAGGAGGAACAACGAACCATCTAAAACCATGTATAGATGTGCCTGAAGCCTCCATTTTCCCTTAAGCATGGGTTATTGCCCCAAGATTCATGGGTGAGTTCCCTCTTTTTTCATGGATGGTTGGAGGGGTCAGCCTGAAAAATACCCAAGCGTTACTAGGTCCTCCAGTAGAGAGGTTAGAATAAGGGTACCCTTTTTTCTGTAGTCTATTTTAGTAGGGGAACCCTCCCCCCAAAAAGGGGAAAGAACGGCACTACTGGGGGACCTAGGTTACCTTAGTAAGGCGAAACACCGGGCACCGGGATCCGCTGGGGTTGCCACTGGCTCAGTGCTCTTCACGAACCTCAGACTGGCAGGTCTCGGTCTCCAACAAAGTCCAGGCGTGTTGCTTCCATTTGCGTTTTCGACCCCCTGGCGGAACAGGATAATATGTCCAGAGACAGATTTCCCTTACAACCAACACGGAGTTTTCTTTTTGTTAAACACGTCTTAAGCAAATGAAAATGGTGTTTGCCACTCGAGTGCTCGTCCCAAATTCATGTGTCCTGGTTGGCGAAAAAGAACTGGATGGCACTGGCAGATTGTAAAACAACGAGGCCAATCGATTTTTCTTGACAACTGACAAGGACCAGGCTATGGTCCCTGCACACAGCTCAGCAACGGTCTGTCTTCAACACAGCTCAGCAAGGCCCCGTGTACCAGCCGAGCATTGAACGCTCCCAAGCACAAGGGTGCCCACCCAGTGACTCGGTGGGTGCATGCCCGAGACGAGTACGGCTTAACAAGCAGGACCCCTCAAACCGGCGGTTTAGGGGTTAGACTGCACAGACTTGCATACATACAAGAATCCTATGGTTTCCTAAGCCATTTATGCGAGTGTCAGAAGGGACCCTTCCCTTAATGATTGTTCCCCATTAATTGCATTGGTTTGCTGGTCTTGGCTTGAAGCAAGGAGGGTCCATGCTTGGGATGTGCAAGAAGTTGACGAAAATCTAAGTGTTCAGGGAGTGAGTCTGCCAAGGGCCCCGCCGCCCCGGCGCCATGGCGGCTTTGAAACCCTGAACAACCGCACAACCCAAGGAAGGCGATGTTGGCAAATAACCTCTACAGTAAGTGCTTACCAAAGCCCCCTTTCCCCAAACAAAAACCACTTGGTGTTGGTTCCCGTTGGATTCCCCAAAAGGGCGTCCCTCCAACAATTGCATAGCTACATAGATAACCGCCCTCCTCTGATCCTCTGAATCTACCTAAAGGCGAGCGGTGGGTGGAAGGTACTTGCTTGGCTTTGAATCATGCTGTACAGATGTGGGCGAGACCTAAATCCTGGCGGAACCCTCAGGCTGGCTTTTCAAAGAAAAACAAAACGCAAGCCGTTTCCGTCGAATCGAGTCAGATCAGCGCCAGGCAGCTGACAAGTGCATGGCCAAACTCAAAGACTTCCCCCACTGACCCACACCAAACCAGGAAGACTGATAGCAATTAAGCCCTGTTTAGGGCTCAGTTGCTCCGAATTGCGGCTTAGCCTTAAGGGGTATGTTCCGGACTGGTGGTACAACGTTTGACATGCAGGGTTTATAAGGCATCGCTTTAACCCCAATCACACCAGGTAATAGGACCTCCGATTAAAATGGCTGCTCGAGTGACACTGGTTCGCGGATCCATATACCTGGATAGCAAGTTGCAGGGAACCCTGCATTTAGGGAAAAAGAGATGGCTGATTACCTGGGTGTGTCTTTCTTTTTCAGGTGGTCTTCATGTTGGGGGTTTGAGACAAACCCGGCTGGGTTTCAGGCGTCACCAGGTCAGGGTAGTGCCGCATCAGTTGGCTTTCGACCTTGGACGGCTGTCGGATGCGAAACCCTAAGGCAGGGCGATTGACCCCCACGGTTAGTGGGAAAAAACTGACATGTGCCCACAAACTTGCAGATTCAACACCCAACCCAGCAGCAAAGAAGATCAAGAAAGCTGGGGCGTGGGTCCACATATTCGTAGCTGACATCCCGAAGCGTACCCGGTCTGAAGCCCTTCTGATGAAGGGCTTCGTGGAACGCCCTGGCCACCTCCACAGGCAAAAACGACGCAACCAAAAACACCAGGGGTCAGACGAGAACCATGCTTCAAGAATATAAGAAGGCGGCCGCAGCGATTTATGGCTGCGATCGTCCCTTACGAACCTTGACTTACCCAGGTTTTGATTGTGACTCAGGTGAATCTTGACCCACATGCACAGGGCGTGGAGCCTCGAGACTTCTACTTGAGGTCTTGGTACACCCTGATGTGGGGGTCTGAAAAGGGTCGAATTTGAAGCCCGGAAAATGACCGTTCCCCCTATCAGAGTCTAGGAGGAAAGCGGCAACCAGTGGCCATGAACGCATGAGGGCACTATGTTTGCTTGTAGTTGATATTCAAGGGACAGCCCTCCAAAAAAGGGAAACAAGGGAGGCACCACTGGGTGTCTGGCTTACAGTCAAAGGGACCCATGTATGTATGTATGTATGTATGTATGTATGTATGTATGTATGTATGTATGTATGTATGTATGTATGTATGTATGTATGTATGTATGTATGTATGTATGTATGTATGTATGTATGTATGTATGTATGTATGTGTGTATGTGTGTATGTGTGTGTGTGTATGTAGGTGTGTATATATATATTTACATTAACAACCTGTACAGAATCCTGGGGACCTGATTGCAATCCGCAAGCCGCTACTGTAGTCATAGGGGATAAAACCAAACAAAAACTAACACATACATGTGTATATATATAAGACACATCCCCTTCGCTCCAACCGGGGCTGCTACAAACTTCTGCACCTGGTCTGTGTGCAGGTCCTTGCCGAAGTGGCAAGGTGGTTCTGCTCCAAATGCACCAGGCGGTTTGGCCATGTGGGTGTTTCTCATATGGCAGTGGCTCAAATTCAAAGAGCTAGGGTTACGCAGGTTTTGGTCCATGTTTCCACTTGCCAGGGCAACCCATTTTGGTACCGGTTTTTTGAGCCACAGCCATATTGGGGGGGGGAGGTGTCTGTTTTTAGGGAACCCCGTTTTGTTTTGTGCTAAGGGAAAAGCAGACGGACAACCACATTTTTGGGGCTCAAGCAAACGCAAATAGGAAACCCACAAAAATGGCAATTGCTTCCGTTCAACTTCCCTTGTAGACACCAACCAAAAGGTTGGGGGGGGGGGTCTGAATCCAATTTGAGAAACGTTTGTATGGCAGGCCGGGTAACGCTTGAAGACCCTCGAAAGAACAACCGCGGAACCTGAAACAGACCGTCCACAAGACCAGGGGGCTGCCCTGGTAGCTCCGAAACCCTCCTGTCAGCTTTCCTGACTGGAGGAAGGACAAGAACATGGGTGCTTTCTCAAGTTTAGCCTCTAGAAAAAGGGAAACATAAGCGCCCATCACCAGTTTGCTGCCCTGGTTTGGTCGTTGAGTTGAGATTCCCAGCTTAGAGAAGGCATCCTCGCCCTTTGTCCCTGACACAGGCGGCCCTCACTTCGGAATGGTCCGAAGCTGTAAATCACATGAGCAACGCAAATTCATGTATAACTACGAGCTGTGGACTTCCTGAACATTTCGGGTTTCCCAAATTATCGTTTAGTCGACATCACTCTGCCTGTGCTTCCACTTGCGAACCAAGCGGACCGCCTGTGCAAAACCCTACAGAGAACCCGGTAGCGTATCTTTGGATCCACTGTGCCTTACACCTCCCCTTAGACATCACCCCATAAGATCCATGAAATCAAACACCATGAGCCTCGCTGATGTTTGAACCACAACGGGGAGCTGTTGGGAACGCTTGCTTGGACCTTGCGGGCCGAAAGGTCAAAATGGGGGCCTTTTCGAGACGGTCTGCCAAACCCTGTCAGCTTCCGCGACAAGAAACGGGTTACAGAGTTCAAACGGCAAGTCACATCCGAATTCGTGGATTGGCCAAAATATGTCCGAGCATTTGGTTTTGCACCAAAATGGTCCAAGCCACAAAAGTACAAAAGTCCAGGAATTGATCAGTAGAACTCGGTGACAACCTGCGTTCTCCTCGAAAACCGATGTCGCTGCTCTGGAAAGATGCCGCTCATGAAAGACTGTGAGCACCTGAGTCGTTGTATCTCTGGCAAGGGACACCGGTGTCCTCTCTCGACCCCCAACCTTTTTTGAGCCCACTAACTGAAGCCAAATGAAGGTCAAAGAAACACTTGGGGCTGGAAAACCGGGCCCAGGGACACTTTCTCCTTAGCTACCAAACTTGCAATTGTCACCCCACTAGGACACGGGAAACAAAAACTATTGATCCTCTTCAGTGAAATTCCTCTTCCAGAAAATCCCAAAGAGTGTCTTGCCTTCCGAGATACAGCAAATGGCCCAAGAGTCTGCTTCACCGAGATGGAGCCTGTGAGCCTCTTCAATTCTGTCATACTCCACATGAGGCTATGTCAGAAATCTTGGGGATGAGTCTTTGAGGGTGGCGGTTGTTGGTGGTCCATGGAGTATGTGCGCATAGCTGAGGGGTCACAACCATATGTTCAAGAGGTCTTGCAGAGGTATGTTCACGAGGTCTTGCAGAGTCTAGTTATGTGGAATGCTTCGCTCATCTACAAAGCTGGCAATGGTCGAGAAGTACAGTTGCTGGAGGCATGAGAGGGGATGGCACATCTGCCTGAAACTTTGTAGACGGCCGAAAGCGTTTCGGGAGGAAGGGTATTCAGGTCAGAGGCCAATTTGTTGGCCAGTCCCCTTCCTTCCCAATGGTTTTTGTGGCCGGAAGTGTTTCTCCGATCGATGCCGAGAGGCTAAGTCATAGTTGTTGACCAGGAACACCAGCCCGGAATCCTGCCTGAGAGGCAAAGACAAAACCTCCACGCGCGACTGAAAAACAAAGTAGAACCTCGTGCGGCTCATTGAATCTCAAGTGCCAAGTTCACGCGCGGCAAGATGCCAGGTGTCTTGAGGGTTGTTAATGGCCAGGCTTTGGCTCAAAGGAGGGCCCTGAGAGGCCTCTGTGCATTTCATGCCTCGAAAGAATGCCAGGATTGATTTGTCCCAGTTCCACGCATTTCGCAGGCCTCTATGGCAAAACCGTAACACCTAGAGGTAAAAGTGATGGGTATACGGTACCCACTATAGTGGTGAAGCGCCTGAAAGCACCGGATTCAGTCACCTGAATCTCCGAAATGTATCCCTACTCTAGCCAGAGCAACCATTTAACTGCATAGAAGGCAACCAGGGAACCGCGCGTTCCAAACTAAATGGGCAATTGCTAGTCACCTACAGGAGAAACTGGGATTTGCTTGGATCCAAGGAGTTGTTAAAATTTCGCTGTTGAGTGGATTCTGCCACTAAACCCCAAAAACCCGCAAACCAAAGGGATGGCTGGAAATTACTAAGTTACGCTTTTTTAAGTATCCAAGTGCAACCTATTTGGAGTCTTTAGGGGTCGAATAGACTCCGCTTGCATCACTGGGGTTGGATGTGCCCTTGGAAACCCGAACAATCCCAGTGCTTGCAGCTTCCGCCATTTGGGTGTGTCTTGAAATAGGGGACCCCAAAAATGACGGTTTGCTTTTGGTTTCCATTTAAGGCCACAAAAACGGGGTACCCTCAAAAACAGACGAGCCACCCATGTCCAAACTAAGGGGGACCATCCCCCGCATGGAATTTAGGTTGCCACAACCTACTTGAGAGAGGGATACTTTAGACGCCCGCTGTTCCTGAATCAGCACATCCCGGACCTATGAATGGGTCCCTTTCCTCTGCCAACTTGTACCCAGTTTAGGCAACCTTGGCGGCAAAGAAAAAAGGCACGGGACTCGGGCCATTGGGGTCCAGGCTCTTTGACAGAAAGTTTGTTGATCCCTTGCCAAAAGTGGCAACCCCGACAATAAGTGGTTGTTTTTTGGGTTTCCTCTTAAACCATTCAACAACAGGTGCTGTCAACAAAAGACACACCCATCTGCCATAAACCCTTCTCAACTCTAACCAGCTACCCTCCCAAGAATCTTGGAAGCCAGCCCCTGTACACTTCCACGATGGTTGGAGGCTGACTTCTCAACTAACTAATCAAACGTCTAGGATATGCCAGCTCAAGGCTACTAGGTCCAATAGAGAGGTTAGAATAAGGGTGCCCTCTTTCCTCTAGATTTTAGTAGGGGCTTCAACGGCTCTGGGCAAACCTAGGCACGCAACACCGCTCTGGGACCGGTTCCTCCCATTTTGGTATCACGACAAGGCGCCCGTCCAGTCGGTTTGCCAAGGCCGAAAGCAGGGTGCAGAATTCCTGGCAGGCAAAAAAACGCGCTTTTGGCAGGTCAATGGAAACCTTGTAGATTGGTTGTTTGATTCTTCTGATTTGAAAGGGAAACCAACAGGAAACCACGATTTGTTAGTTTCCCTGTAAGACTGGTACACGGTTGTACCATTTGTTTAAGGGTACTGGTCTGAAAATTTGGTTTAGAGGGACACCGCAACAACAACAAAAAAAAACGCATGTGTTCGATATGGAGCCCAGTGGTTTGGAGGCGGACCCTCCTGGGACCCAAACAAACCCCATTACCCCAGTGGCCTCCGGTGGTTCTAGGGGTTGATTCCTTTTCCATTCTTTTCAGCCATCGTTCTTTTCACCAACCGGCCATTTCCCCCGGGGTTTTCGGTGGTTGTCTAGAAAGATTCGGATCCCTGGAAAGAATGGACATGGAAGTTACCCCTAGAGGGGTGCAATTTAGCGGAACCCCGACTCCAAAACCCACAGGAAGGAACCCGCTGGAGATCGAAGCAACCCGAAAAAGGAAAAGCCCCCATGCGAATACACCAGTACTGTGGATGGTTGCGAAATCAAATCCTGCACCGCTTTGAAGCCATGGGCTTGTTGGTATGTACGGAGGAACCATGATTCCAGGATTTCTTAGGTGGTGCAGGATTTCGTCCATCCACAGTTTTGGACTGGGTTGTGTGAATTGCAGCCACTTCTGTGATTAGGTGCAAACGGAGACCGGGCCCAAAGACTCGAAATGCATCATGGAGTTGGTTCCCCACGCTACCCACAAGGGAGTGTCATGGTAGCTGCTCACAAACAAATGCAACTTGCAGCGTGTACCTTGCCTTAGCATGTTCGAGTGGCATAGTTGCGCAGCACTCAGCTCACTGACATTCACCCTCGCTCGAAGTCCATCCAAATAGGCCGTTTAACTAAAAAACTAAAATAGGCTCACTAGTGTGAAATTTCAACGTGAACATTGTTCTGCTGAATAGGCCATTATCGTTGTTCCAAAAGGTTGCGGTGCTAGTTCGATCATTCAGACAACAACGGCAACCCTCTTCAACCGAACATCCAGAATCACACTGAAACAGGGGTCACTCAATGTGTCTTTCAAAAGTTGGGAGTTGCTGGTGGTGTCCATTGAAGCGTTCACTTTGGGGGGATTCAAAACGGGTGGAGGGACCTCGTGAAATCGCGGCGGCTGCGCCTGACGCATCATGCTCAGGGGTTGCTGCCTGCAGTGGGGAGTGTTCCAGGACAAACGCCGGAAGCAAATTTCGTGGATTCGCCCAAAAGGTTGTGTCTTCTTTTTTTGGGGGGAACCCAGAAAGGTACCAACTCCAAAAAGACACCCCCAAAACTGCCTGGCAACTTCTTGTTTTTACCGCTCCCAGTGCTTCCCGCTAACTCTTCGGCGTGTCCACTCGGTATTACCTGGTCTACGATATCCACAAGCAACACTGACATGGCCCGGATCAGGCCGGATTAACTTGTAGCCCATCCATACCTCCAGCCGTCAAGGCAAACCCAATATGGTCAAGCTGTATTTGTCGCCTCAAAACGCTACGAAGGTGAGCCAAGTCGATGCTGGGATACAAAGCCTCGATGTCCAGAGTCACAAAGTGTAGACCGGGACCGGGGCAGATTGGCTGGAGCGCCAAGTTCTACTCCAGTTCAGCAGTTCTTCTTGAACTTGATCAGAATTGACGGCGATAGTCTCGCGTCTCAAGAGTGGCTCAAGAGAAACTATGAGCCACTCACATAGACCTCGAATGCGCTCCTCCAGAAGTAACAACTGGGTGCGAAGAAATCGGATTCTTGTGCAGTTTGGGCAGCAAACGGAATGCTCCTCCGCGAGGTTGCCGAAAGAAACTTCTCACATATCTAGCCTCTGCGGTGACTACTTGGATGTTCAGTCAAGTTAGTCAGTGGTTAGCTACTTGGGGTATAGCCCCCCAAATAACAAGGCTAACCCCACTGAGAGGGACTTATAGGTGGGTTATAGCCTAGATTACCAACAACTTACTGACTTGGCTGAACACCCAGGTATCCCTTCTGGGATTTTATCGCAGCCAACTGCCATGGACGTGTCCCGGAAATCTAACCTGCCACTCGGATCCCGATCTCCGATTCAATGTGGGATCCCTTGACCTAACCCCCTGCTCCAAATACCCGCTCTTTTCTGGGGTGTCATGTCAACCCTTGACTGAAAATCGAAGATATTACCATGGAAACCCGGCTTTGCAAAAAATACCCTGAAACAAGTCGGTATTTGGAGTAGGGGGTATGGGCAACTGCATTCCAACAGATTCATTGGGTCGACTCTTGGAAAGCAAACGGAGGCAAAGATGCGCCAAAGTCCAAACAACCAACTAGCTGACTCCAGTTGCCCTCTGGGGTCTGCTGGGCGCGTGGGAAAAACACAAAGCCAACGTCAGTGCTAAAGTCAAGGGGAGGCAACTTGGCCACTGGAAAGTGGCCAAACCTTCATTCACTTCAATTTGTGTTGTTCGCCCCCTGAAAAAAAAGAGCAGTATGTTCATGATCCATCCCGGAAACCAGTTCCGCAAGATGACCCAACCGACCCCCGACCCAGTTCCCATGCTATCTGGGTTGCTCCCTCCACCCGGTGAAAGGTCAATCACCCGGAAACTGGAAAAGTCCTTTGGGCCCGTCTTTTTTGAGGCTCGGCACTTTCGGGCTTGGTTTCAAGGGAGACCAAAAGAAGACCAAGCATTGTGAGGTTCTATGTTCGGTCTTCAGATCCCCTGCTAACTTTTAGTGGGTTAAATGGAAACCCAACCTCTAAACCAAGTAAAACACCAAGACAAACTAAGGGACTGCAGTCTGGGGACGTCCAAAGGTCGGGGCCCTTCTTGGTCACTGATGTTGCATGCAGCCTATTGGGCTGGTCAGAACCCACTCATCAACCGGGTTTCTTGGTGTCTTTGTTTAGGCGACCCCCCAACTTGGTGGCTTTCCTTTTGGGTTTCCCCTTCAAACCACCAACAAAAGCTACATACCTCCCTGCCCTCCCCCCAAAAAAAAAAGGACAACGGAGGGAGCTGGAAGCGCACCACCAAGCTCCCGGCAAGTTGTCCGGGAGCCCCGTGTCCTCCCTGGAGCTCAGGAAGTACAACGACGCCGCCAGCTCAGCGAACCTCGCCGAGTGGATGGACGGGCCGCCCACCAGAATTGGTGTATGTGTGTGTGTGTCTTTTACGCAAACGAAACAAACATTGAAGCTTCCCGTGTTCTGCCCCAAACATCCCAAACGTAACACACAAAACATGTGCTTTCCCTGGTTGATCCAAAGCAACAACAACAAGAGGGTGCAAGTGGGGGTACAAAAAAAAACCTGTTTTTGCCCACCTAAAAACCGGGGCTGGTAAGGGGTTGAAGAAAAGGTCAGGCAGGAGGGTTCAAAGCTGCCTCCACTTGACTCCCACTCCCCACCGGAGAAAAAATATATGAAGGTGAAGAGAGGGCTACTCCAAATCTCCCCACCCTTTTTTGGGTGTCATGTCAACCCTTTACCTAAAAGGGAGGTGTTTGCTAAATACCCTAAAAGAGGATATGGTAAGCTTTGCCTCTCTCAAATTCCTTTCCGCCCCTCCATCCAACAAAAAGGCTGAGCCTCGCCACTCTGGAAACAAGAAGAACAGGAAGGGACCCAGTGGATCCCAGTTACTACGACCATAGGCAACCAGCCATTTGAGTCACTGCATCAAAACCCGGTATCAAATGGCATCACAACCGCAACAAGGTCCGAACTCCATTTTGAAATACTCCCATGTGAATCATAATAAAAACTCGGTATTAAAATGGTCGATTCCCAGAACCATGCTTCAAGAGCAAAGAAGGCGGCCGCAGCGATTTATGGTTGGGACTATCCCTTACTAACCTTCATCTACCCGGGTTTTGATTGTGGCTCATTTGGGCTTTTTAAGGGTGGGTTCCCTTGGTTACCTACCATAGTGTAACTGGACTCACGGGACGCAAAGCATTTCTGGATGCTTTGCTTCGACCATCTGCCATGGATGTTGCTGTCATACGAAGGAAATCACAAGCCGCGTCTCCACCTGCTCCGCACCTTTCACTGCCCGAACATCATGCTCCAAGCAAGCTTGCGAGCTCAAAAGCAATAAGCCTCTTGCATTTCGAGCCTAGAAGTCGGACGGCTATGGTCGGACTTGGTCGATTCTCTCAACGCCAGTCCCGGGTTTCAAACAGCAAACACGGGCGCCATACCCAACGAACGATGACGATTGCAAACCGGTTCAAAATCATCAGCTCAGCAAATTTGGCCCCTGTCAAGAAGTCCACATGCTGTTCACCACCCCCAAACCACTCTGCCCCATGCAACACGTTCTTGGTCTGACCACCGAACGAAAAGGGACTTAAAATCCACTGAACGACTGGGTTCCTGGCAGCCAAAACCCTGAAAATCGAAGTTCAACTTCTTCCTTATATAACTTTAGCTCTGGATGTCTCGGTCACAATCTTGGCTTTTGGCCAAAACATGGAAGCGCACGGGCGAAAGAAGGAACATTGTCAAGGAATCTGCGGCATAGCCCACAACTCTCCAACACAAATAATATGTGTTCTGCATTTCCAATGGATCCCAGGCGTTTCGCACCTATGGTGGGCAAGTTCGATAGGAATCTTATCTTCGAGTTGCTTATGTTTTCCTGGAAGAAATATCTATAAAAACAACAATATTTCACTAAGATTCCCTTTAACACGGGGGGGATAAAAAGACTTTCTTCAGGAACTGGGCGCTTTGGGTTACCTCCAAATGGAAAGATTGGCCCCATCCAGCGCCCGCCTGCGCGTCACCAGGTGGGGGTTGGTGTTGCTGGGCGCCTGGTGCACAGTCTGCGCCTCAAGCGGAGATGGGGAAGCGGCAGGCAGCAACTCTCTTCGACCCACCGATTCGGCCCCTTCAAAGAAAAACAAACAAAACGCCGTGGCTTTGAATCGGTCACAGTTGCGCATAGCATTTGGGTAGGTGTCGAAGATGGTTCCCAAAAATGGATTTTTGAGATGTAGGGGAACCAAAAATGCAATATGTAGCCAAAGTTAAGGTACAAAGCCTCATACACACACACACAAACATTTAACTTGAGCGTTCAACTTACTCCCTGCAGAACAATATGCAAGCCTTTTAAGGGAACCCTGGTTGGGTTCTGTGTTCATTTGCTCGGGAGTGGGTGCGCACTGTTCAAAAAGCACACGTTTCCCCCTGAGCTTGGTTCTTTGGAAAAAAGGATCCCTGACAAGAAATGGGAACAACAACCTCCAAAATGTGACTTCAGCAAATACGCGTTTGACAACCATGGTTGCACGTGGGCTTCAACCCTTTCACCAAAAGGAAAATGGATCGAACGGTTACCTCTAGGTTCCGGAGGTTTTCTAGAAAGAAGGATCCCTGGAAAGAAGGGGAAGGTAATCCTAGTGAGGAAAAACCTAAAATCCGGGGACTAGTGAGATCTAGTCCCTCACCTAACCCGACGCCTTGCGCAGGGAGATGATGTTGGCCTCCAGCACCACTCGAAGCCGTGGCCTCGGTTCGCCGCGGGCGGCAAAGCCGTGGGCAGTTTCTTTACCCAGAGAACCCATTTCCGGCAGGCAACCAAGGGAAGCACAAAGGGAAATGGCTGGATATACGCTACTCGCGGAAACCTGAGCAGATAGGCTCAGATAGGCCAACACAAGTCCAAACTTCTTGTTTACCCATGAACCCAGGGAGTAAGTTGCCGCTATGGTCCCAAGCAACTGGGAAGTGAGTGGGTCACCTCGTTTCTTGTTGGACCTTCAACCTCTTCTGGACCCAAGGGACATGTTTGGAACGCCCGACCTTCGACCTTGGAGAAAGAGGCCCAATCCGGGCATTTTGGCGGCTTTGGCCCTGACCCATTTCGAAGGAGCCCCTTTCCAGGATATGTGTATAAATTTTGATTAGGGACCCTTTGGTGGACATCATTTAGGTGGGGATTCAGGGGTTCCCCATTAAAATTCATAGCCATACTTAATTCGCCATTTCTAAAGGTCAAAACTCCGTGCTCCCATAAACGACGTTTCGCCAGCATAGCAGGTACCTCTTCGGTATCTTGACGTGCATCCAATTTCCTGCATAGCAGGTAACCAAGGGCTTGCCACCCTTTAAACACCAAAAGGACAATGGCTAGTTACCTATTCTAGTGGCTTGCCTGGGATCCATTGGGTCTGGGTTTTGTGTGATCATTTTCCCCAGGGTTAGCTACCACAATGGCAACTTGGAAGCAATGGGTTGGCCATGGGCCATGGTCATCTGTGGCTTCCACATCATCCTATAAATAAGTGGGTCTTTGACCTTCGCGCCTGCATGGGAAATTGGGAGAGTTCCCGCACGTCCCTCCCAAATGGACCACAAACGACTGAGCATTTTGACCAAACTGCGCATGATCCTGTCAACAATGCTTGGATGATCCGGGACCTAGAGCTACCGACTGAGCGATCACCCGCAAACTATGTAAGTGGTCACCCGTCTCCTGTTTGAACTTCTGGCGATTTAGCCAACGCCCCGGACCATCTAGGTAGGGTTGAATTGTCCCATTAAAATATCCAAAAAACAAATCTTTAAAACACCCACAGGGATAAATATAGACCCCACCAACATTTGATTTGACCCAAGAGGTGACTTTTCAAAACCCAAAAGGAGTTCTTTCACCCCTGAAGGACCCATTGATACACAAATTTGTGCTCAACCCCCATTTCATACACTTTTCATACACACACTTGCAGTGTTTTTTGATACACACATTTGTGGCAAAGGGGCGTCCAGGCCCACCTCTAAGACCCACCTTTTGGGTTTTAGGAAATTTCCCGGGAGCCGGGCCAGAGAAGCAGCTGCAACGCGTCCAGGTAAGAGTCCAAACAGCTCACCTGACCGCTGAATTTCAGACAAACAACATTGAGGGGTGTTGCCGGCAACAAGGATGTGACGCCACCATCCACCCATTTTTCCTAAAACAATGTGACCGTGGGTTAGATATAAAAATGAACATTATATATATATATATATATATGTATAGAGAGAGAGAGAGACAAAATGTGTATATATTTATATGTATAGTGTTTCAGAGGGCACCCAGTGAAACTCTCCTTTGGATGGTTCAGGTTGGTTCAAAGAGAAAGTCACGGGAAAACTGTACAATGTTGAGGGGTCCAGATCCCTGTTTTGACGAGCCATACGCAACTGGAGGCCCCCCAAACTGGGCCAAACGGATCCGACCCAGTGCAAAAAAGCTCAAAGGGAATATTGAGTACCAAGGAAAGCAGAATCCCAGGTGCTTTCCCCAAAAGCCCCGGATCACCCTAGAACCCTCCGAACCCTCACTGAAAAATTGCCCCATACCACCCCCAAGAGCCTATTTGGGCAGAGTCCACATCCATAGCATTCAGCTGCTGGGAAAAACTGGTAATGGGACAAACCAGCCCGACGAGTCTGGCAATAAACGCTATGAACCAGACCCCAAACAATGTCAATGGACGCCCCAGCGCAAGTGTGGTGATATTTTTATTTTTCCGGAGGACTCCTACACTTTTAGGTGGCAGTCGTGAACATGACACAAATGGGTGTGTCACTTTTTAGGGGACTCCACTATACTGGTTCTTTACAAACAATACGCCGCACCAAAAAAACATACCAAACCAATGCGGAAACTCTGACCATGGCCCCATCCCCTCGTTTATGAAACCATCCAGCTCCTTAAAACCCCACGGCATGAAACCGATCTCGGAGTCGGTCTTGACACGTCTGGCCTTTGGCGCCAGGGAACCGCGTCGCACGAGGTCCAGCGCTTTCTCCGGCATGTGGTTAAGCCACTTGGGTAAGCAAGCCCTACTGTGGATGGACAAAATCCTGCACCACCTAAGAAGCCCTGGAATAATGAGTCCCCTGTAAATACCAACCGACTATGGTTTCAACCATGGTTTCAAAGTGGTGCAGGATTTTGTCCATCCACAGTATGTGTGGCTTACCAGAGGGCCTGTTGGCCAATCCAAAAAGGGCCCTTGGACAGGAATTCCTGCAGATGGGGCCAGTAGCACGTCCATGTACGTCCATGTCACCACCGCAGACCCTCACCCAGCGTTGCCCGCAATGCTGTGTTGCTCAGTATCAGCAATCATTCACACACTTCAGCTCTCCCAAACATGATGTGAATGAGCGAGGCTTCTAGTATGGAGGACAGCTCCAATTACTTTACCGAGAGCTGTCTAAAGTCAAACTATTGTTCAACCAGTCCCATCAACACGGGATGAACAGGCCCAGACAATCCATGTAGGCAATGTATTAGTATATATACACCCACATTTACCCTCCAAGGGTGAAATGTTGGTACATTTGTATATATATATATATGACGTCACTGGAATCAGAATTCAAAATACCCAAGCAAAAGCCAAGGATAGTCCACCCTCGCCCAGTGGATCTAGTTGCCTGTAACCAAGGGAACCACCCTGAAAAGAAACGTGGTTGCATATAGCCCCATTCTTTCCAGGGATCCTTCTTTCTAGAAAACCTCCGGAATCCCAGGGAAAATGGCTGGTTCTTGAAAATAATGATGGCTGAAAAGAATGGGAATCAACATGTCTGGGATCTGGTGGGTAAAATAACAAAACCAACAAACAACTACCAGCTTCCCTCCAAAAACTGGTGTTGGACAGTATTTGAAAATTTCGGGCATGAGAAAAAGCAGTTGTTGTGACCCCGGTGCTGATACAGACTCGAATACGAAAAGCCAAGAACGGCGAAGGGAAACCTGGGCTGCCCTCAGATCCCCTGCTAAAAGTTTAACTTTTAGTGAGTTAAATGGAAACTACCACTAAACCCAACAAAACAACAAAGCTAAGGAACCGGATGGCTGTGAGCCACGAAGACATACTGTGGATGGACGAAATCTTGCACCACCTAAGGAACCCTGGAATGATGGTTCCCCTGTAAATACCGACAAATAATGATTTCAACCATGGTTTCCTAGGTCCGCCAGTAGAGAGGTTAGAATAAGGGACCCTTTTCTTCTGTAGTCTCTTTTAGTAGGGGAACCCTCCCCCCAAAAAGGTTGGTAGAGAAAGGGCACCTAGCTGGGGGACCTAGTTTCATTTCGTGGTGCGAACGGATTTGGCCCATCCGCAGTATCAACTCATCTTGGAGCCTTCCGCTTCGTTGGGCCTGGCGCTGCTGCATGCGCTTCCGGTAGAAGTCTACGATGCGGACCATCAGCAGAAGCCCCACCTTCGGTCGACGGCAAAAAATCCGCAAGGTCCATGTCTCGGCCCAGAAAAGAGGGGTATGTAGAACCTACCCTTCCAACTAACATGGCAACTGACAGGGGCCCCTCAAAAGAAAATGAATCTTCCAGGTACCTCCCCACAGGTGCCATGTTAGTTGGAGGAAGGGTAATAGTTTCTGATTATGTTTCATGTTTCGTCTGCCCTAAAATGTGATATAGTGTTAAAGGAGACCGCAGATGTGGGGGGTTCCGAAAATCGTGGCCCAATATGATTGGTTTCCTCTTGGCTTCCCTTTGAGTATCAACCAAACCTTGGTGAACATGTTGAGAAGCTCTGTTATATGGGTGTTTCTATTCGGTGCACCCTTTTCAGGAGGGTTTAAAGGGAACAAAAGGATAGTCAGCATTTTGGGTCGAGGCGCCTTAGACAACCCCGAATTAGGTCCCACTTAGGTGTAAAGCCCTGTAAGTAGGGCTACGGGCAAGATCATTAACCCCGAGGCCACGCAGAAACCACTCCCAAAGGATCTTTCAAGGGTTGGGCTGAAGCCTCATTCAGTAGCGGTTGAGGGCCCGGTTTTGTTGGGGTCACTGAACACCAAGGTGATTGAATAGTTTGCATGTTTGCCCAGACTTGCAGCTTACCTTTTGAACTTTGGCTTTTGGATGTTCCATCATGTCCCCTTTCAAACAGCAAATCAAAGTGTAATGTTGACGAACCCAACAAGCAATATGGATAGAACACAAAACCCTTGATGTTGACACATTTCTCAAAAGGGCCCGCATACTTGCGTGACGCAGCCATATGGCTACTTGGTGCTACTTGCCCTGGAATCCACCGAGAACTATTCAATTCTCTTGAAAGCTACTTGGGTTTGGCTTCCCAAGCAACCATTTCCTATGAATAGACCTTCTTGATAGAAAATGGCAGCTTGAGAAACCACCATTTGTAAATGGTTGTTTGAAGTTCCAGGCAGATGTGCCTTCGTCTGCGACTGTCGATGCTCCCACGAGAACCAAGCTCAGCTTCTGTCTCCATAACATTTAGTTAGAGACAAAGAAATTACCGCACGAGACTCATCTGAGCTCGGGGAATCCCGCAAGACGGGGAATCATCTCTCTGTTCTATAGGGGTTGATTCCCCATTCTTTTCGACCATCGTTATTTTCGAAAACCAGCTGTTGTCCCAGGGTTTTGGTGGTTTTCTAGAAAGAAGGATCCCTGGAAAAAAAGGGGGAAGCTACCCTTAGACCAGTTGATCTCGTTGCGACAGTCAACGTTTTGGATAATAATAATAAAAACGAGCCAATCATCCGCTGCAAATTGTTCAAGCCTTGCTGCATCATAATGAATTCGCAAATGAAGCACTGAGCTCTTGATCAAGATCAAGCGTCGAGAAACAAAGGAAAAGAGAGACACTGTCCGCAGATTTCTGCAGGATCCAAAGTCTCTTTGTTTGAATGTGACTTTTTGAAACCACACAAATCATGTGGATATAACCACATATAGATGTACATTGTTGTTGTTCACAAACTTCTCGGTGTAGAATCGTCATTTGCGGCAATTCCTGCATCTCGAAACGCAACTCGCAAGAGTCTTGGTCGAGCTTGCATGACGTGCCAAAGGTGCCAGAGTTGATTTCACTCGAACTGTTAATGTCAGATGAGTGTCAGCAACAGGATGGGTTGTAGAGCAATAAAGCCCAATCTGTCCGCTTAGTCTCACCCTTGTAAACCGTGCGGGTTGCTACCAACTTAGCTAACCCCAGACCGTCTAAGTATAACTCACCCCCAAACAGTCCCCCAAGCACGACACCCACTATTCAGCAATACTGATGAATACTGATGGACCAAATTCTGTGCCAGTTGGTAGGTAGTCCCCCCAAGGATCCCAGGCGCTTCGCGGCGCTTCGCACGTGTGGCTAAGCCTTCGATCGATCCATTTTCCTTCTTGGCTACTAAAAGCGCCTTTTTTATCTGGCAGTGGCTCAAGAAACGTTCCCAAAATGGCCAATGGAAGCAATGATTCTGAAACCCGCGTACCCCCTAGCTCTTGATTTTTTTTTGAGCCACCCCCACCCACCGGAAACAAAACACCGGACCTCCCTGGGCCCATACATCCCCCACACCAAAACCGGAAGCATCATCCTCCCGCCCCTTGGGCCCCCGTGCGGAGTCCCAGCAGTTTGCCAGGAACGCCTCCATGGAGTCTAGGAAGTACCTGAGAGAGGCTGGAGAGTCAGCCGACCGCTCCACCCAAAAACTCCAGTTCTGTAGCTAAGGGTACCAAGAAAACCGCCAAACTGAACAAAAAAGGAACCATGGGAAGGGTTGTTGTTGTAGCTCTCATTGTTTTCTGGTAAGTTGGATCTGGGTCTTTCCCTTGAAAACAAACCAAGAGGACCCGGGTCCTATGCAGTTGCGGTGGATTGGCCAAGTCAGTCCCAAACCTCTTTGCCGCTAAGGTCTTCTCGGGTGGCTAAAGTCTGCTGCTCAAAAACTTTGGGCGCCAGCCGAGGAATTGAAGTCGGAAGTAGAAGTCCACAGTCGGACGCACCATTGTCTCAGTTGCCCAGTTAACTTTGGACCCAGAAATGCAAAACCGTGATCACCCGTTTAGGGCCATGACTCTGGATTGGTCACCAAAATGAAATGGTAATTTCAAGTCGATTCGCTTTGGGCCGGCCAAGACTTCTCCATCCGCATACAATGAATAAGGTATCCCAAACAGAACCCCCCCGAGCCAGTCTAATTTGTCCACCCCAAGGACAGTGGGGTACCACTGGGTTTGTCTCAAACTGGGGGAAGTTTTTTCAAACTTTGGTCTCGTCCCTGGTTTCCCAAAGGACATATCAACCCAAAAGGGTTCCTTCAACAAAAAGGACACACGCCTCTGCCTGCCACCGGCTCTGGGAAGCAGGCTGCGTCGTCTTCCCAAAGACTTCCTCAATGGCCAGGTGCACCCAGTGTCTTCCATCGATTCCCCGCTGAAAGTTGAACCAAGAAAAAGCACGGATTGGTCTGGGAATGGGGAACCCCACGAAACTGAGCTGTTCTCTTCTTGGCTTCCGTTAAAGCCACCCTATTTTAGGGTACCCGCCAAAAAAGGAGACCCATATGCAGAACCCGGGACCCCCCACACTGCAAGTGCTTCTTCTGGGTCTCAAATACGGCTGCCATCGCGGAATGCCGCGGTGTTCAGCTCTTGAGGCCGTTCCCTAAGGGGCGTTGGATGAAGCAACATTGATGGTCTAGAGGACCTAGAGAGGATAGAATAAGGGTACCAACTTTTTTCTGTAGTCTATTTTATTAGGGGAACCCTCCCCCAAAAGAGTTGGTAGAGAAAGGGCACCCAGCTGGGGGACCTAGTTGTCGACACGAAGGACCTGGTTGAACACCAGCTTCCAAATTGGTTCAGCTTCTTGAAGAAGCCCCAACAAAGGGAGCAATGCTGTTGCAGGAGCGGGTATGAGAACTTCGTCATAGGTTCCAAAATGAGCCACTGACTCGCAGGGGTAATACTGGCGCAGTTTCTCGTGGGGTGTTTGTCTGGTATATTAAACAATGTTTCAGAGGTATGATTGTGTAATTTCCTCTTATTTTTGCGGAGGTATGGTTTGCATGCTTTCAAGATATGCTTCGGGTGTTTAGCCAACATACTTCGGAGAAAGGCCCCTATAATGTCGTGTCCCATTTTCCATTGGCCGCGGTGGTTCAAACACGATTGAACCACACATATCAAACCACCTGCTCTTGGTTGCCCTTTAAAGGGAATCAAGCCTGGCTGGTAAACAACATTTGTTGCGCCCAGCTTCTCGCTTCCAACTTTCTCGCTAGACAGGCCAGACATTGGAGCTGTTGCCGAGAATGCAAGGGCATCTTGTTTAAAGGGACCGTAAACGAGGAAGGTCTCTGAGTTGCCCAGTTTGGACCCAGACATAAATTGGGATCACCTTTAAAAATGGCACACATCGAGGAAACCAAAAGGTGAAAGCTCAAGTGAGAGGTTTTATCAAAAAAGAACAACTCGTCGCTTGTTGATGGCCCCCTTTTCCTCTCGTAGTTTTAATCATGAACCACAAACCCTTTGATTCGTTTCCTTACAACCACCTGGACGCTGAAACCCGCCCGTAAAACAGGCGGAAACAATCCTATATTTTGCTGCAACAACCGTTTTTGTTTTTTTCTTATTTTTTTTTTTTCGGGTACATGGGGGAAGCAATCAGATAATTGTGCGCAACAACCATTTTTTATTGGTAGTTTCATGCGCCCTTTTGACAGAGACTAGGTCCTCCAGTAGAGAGGTTAGAATCAGGGTCCCGTTACTTTTTTCAGGACATCTATTTGCGTAAGGGAACCGAATCTCCCAACCAAAAAGGGCACCAAACGCTGGGGGACCGAGGAGCCCTAGGAGACGTCCGTCTCCGCCTCCCGCGCCGGGCCCCCGCGCCACGAAGAGCTGCTGATCCCCGCGGGTGTCAAAGAAGTCGTTGAGGAAGAGAAACTCCGAGGTGGCGGTGTCCTGCCGCGGAAAAAACAAAAGGTTTAGGGTTTAGGGCTTAGGGTTTAGGGCTTAGGGCTTAGGGTTTAAGGTTTAGGGAGAGTTTAGGGTTTAGGGATTAAGGAAAAAAACACAAAACGTGGCACCAGAAAACAAGACGTCGGGATCTTGGTTGGAGTTAAAAGGGGCGACAGCGTCGCTCAAAGGGAACTTGTTGGGGGTTTAAAGGATTGAAGTACCACTCAAAGGAAGTCTGTTAGGGGTTGAAAGTGTTGAGGTACCGCTCGCAGGAAGCCTGTTAGGGGTTGAAACGGGTGGAGTGCCACTAGGAAGTTGTTAGGTGTTTAAAGGGGTACAGTATCACTCAAAGGAAACGTGTTATTGGTTCAATCCGGAAACTTGTTAGGGGTTGAAGGGGTTGAAGGGCTGTGGATGGAGCACATCTTGCACCACTTGGAAACCATGGGAAACCATGGTTTGTTGCCATTTACAGGACTTTTTGGGGTGGCGCAAGATTCGTCCATCCAGAGTCCACTTATTTGTCGGTCCCCTTTCTTTCATTTTTCTCTGGCAAAGGGGGATCCAATAGAAAGCCAAAGGACAAATCCCCGGTTTCCCCCATGCCATAGATGACCCCGGGAACCATTCCTTTGAAAGCTGACCGGGAAATGGCCCTAGCAGGAAAAAGCAAGAAAACTAAACCTGTTACGCTTGACAAGTCACGAGTGCCAACCGTTGAAGATCCCAGTTAGCCATTCTCCTTGGAAGATGGATCCACCGGACCATACAAAAAAGCAAGTCCCCTCCCAAACATGGAATCTGGCAGACTTTTGGAAGACAGCTGGCTTTGGGGGCTGTCCACTTCCATTCCCAGTGCTTCCAGGTACCACTAGGGTAATTCAAGAGGAAAACACACAACAGTTGCCTACTAATTATAGTCGAAAGAGGGGCGGTGCCTCGAATTCATGCATGGCTTAGGCGGCTCAGCCGGGAAGCTGAGTTGCTGGAAGGTGTCCCGGTTTGCCTGATAGCTTCTTACGAAGCCGGGTTCTTGAGAGGCGAACGGTAAACATCAAATCTAGGCAGTTCCGACCTAAATCTTGCCAGGGATGCAACTTTTCCAAATCTGAACCCACCGCCCATTAGACAGGGGTGCCCTATGGGGTGGCATTGAAAAGAACAATGGGACAAAGGAATGCGGGGCCTAAGCTTTTGCTGGATGCTCCCAGTCTCCGCCGCAGGAGCACAACAAGCTTGTTGTTCACGATAGGTCGAGTGGTTGAAAACACTCAGTTTCAAACCATGTGCAAAAACGGAACAACACGCGCCATGTCCAAGCAACACGAAAGCAGCGCTGTTCAACCAAAGCGCTTCAGTCAAGGGTCAATGCCAGCGGCTGAAGCCGCTTCAAAACGCAAATGGGTGTGGCTCTTTAAACCCTTCGAACCACCTACGTGACAGGTCGATGAAATCCTACGAGTATGACCCAACGTAGCTGCTTGGTAGGCAACAAACTCGGCGGTTCGTGAACAAGTGACATCCTCAATTATGGTGATTTCAACCATCCCCCAACTAACTTTTGACCCGCAAAATGCCACCAGCCCCAACCTCTGCTCTTTGGACACTACGAACGGGACTTTGGACATGGTCGAAAAAGCAGTTCTTGGGACCTGGGTACTGGGCACCAAATCCGAATGCAGAGAGCAGTCCATGAGGAGCATCTGGTGACTGCGGAAGAGCTGCTCGTGGTAGTATTTCACCTTGTCCTCGCGACGCCCAATCCATTTGGCTCGCTCGTTTTTTTGGGCTTGGTATCCCTGTCTTGTTGGCCAGGTCTTCTTGGGAAACCGAAAGGACACCGTGGCCATTTTTGAGGGTCCAATATGAAAAACACAGACCCATGTACCAGAGGGGGTGTCCATCGGATCAAGCACTAAAAGGTCAGAACCAAACTGAAACCAGCGCGTGGCATGCGAAAGATCTCATGAGTCTTCCGAACGCTTCCCTTGGAATTGCAGAAGCTGCCACGGGTTCGAGCCCGCAACGAGCTATGGCACTGACTCTTTCCAGCACGGGCTGAAACTGGGGCTGTGGAAGTTTTCTGCCTGGTCAAGCGATCATTTTCTTCAGCTGCTCAACTCTCTAGGGTATAACGGTATAACATGCCGCCCCGCTCGTACTATCCTTTGTCTGGGGGGGAGCTGAGTACCTGATTTCTACAAAAAGGGTAACCCAGTGAACCAAGGGAATCGTGGGAAATGGCTGGTTGCCTGCTACTCACTTCCTGAGTGGATTGGCCAACCAAAAGTCTGAACTTTTAGTTACGTACCACTAGAATGGTCCGAACCCTAAAAATGACCAAAGTCCAGTTGAACTCAGGGACTGTGGCTATAGGGACTTGCCTGGGATTTACCGGCATGGGCATAGTCTATGAGCCACAGCTACCCAGCAGTGGTACATGGTTCAGCCACGCTTGTGGCTTCGATTGCCCTGCTTTGCACTACATGGCCCCGCTTTCATCTTAGCTTGTCTCCCCCCAACAAATCGGGGGTGTTCCTTTGGTTTCCCTTTAGAACCATCCTGAAAGGGCTCCCTCGGGAAAAAATACATCAAAGGCAAAACTGTCCAGAAGAGGCCTCTTTTGCATCTTGGGGAGGCGGATTCGCCCAACTCCGAGTCTGGTGTCCAGTCCTTGTTCGTGTGCGCGATGATGGGATCCTTGTCCAACTGCTCCAGGATGGCATCCCGCCCTGCAGGTTTCGCGGGAAGCGGTTCCAAAGGAAAACCAAAACCCAAGGAGGAAAATTCGCCCCAAAAATAGGATTCGCCTCTGACTAAGATCCGCAAAACTAGGAGGATTCGCCCCAAAGCCCCCTGACTAAATCATCTAACCCAAGACTAGGACCCGCCCCAAGGAAAGCCTCACGAGGGAATCCCCAAAACCAGGACTAGGGATTGCCTTTGAACCCAACTGGGGGGTTCGCGCATTCCTGCTCAAACGGGATACAGCGGAGAAGCCATCGGCAACCAGTGTTCCAGGGTTATGCCTCTAAGCCATGGTTGAAGTACTTGGCTCATGGGGTTAGAATGGTTGCTGCCCCAGCAAGTAGTTGGCCCCAAGCCTTTCGCAGCATAGGTCCACTGGCCCCCTCCATTTGCGCCAAATCCAAATTGGGTGTGGACCTCAATTCCCCTTTGATTTCAGTCTGCATTAGACTCAAGGAGATGCTCATGATCAACAAAAACCAAGAGGTGAAGAAACCTGAGCAGTGGGCCAATAGTCACTATTACAGTCGGCCTTGCTAGGTCCTCCAGTAGAGAGGATAGAATAAGGGCACCTTTTTTTGTAGTCTATTTTAGTAGGGGAACCCCGGAAAAGGGGAGAGAAGGGCACCTAGCTGGGGGACCTAGGTCTGCCTGAAGTACTATAAAACTCACCGGCTGGGATTTATGGCACCCGGTTCGGAGTGGTTGGAACGCTTGGGGCCAGCTGCAGGTACCTGGACCCTCAAACTACCAACTGAAAATGGGCTAAACTGCGGGTTGCAACCCCACAATTATGGTTGGTGTGGTTCACTTTTTTTTTTCTTTAAGTTGGTAGCTTGAGGGTAGCTTTTGCACGCAACCCGAGTTGCTCAAAATTGGGGGGGGGGATTGTAATCCGTTATTTGTGAGACACCACTACAAAAGAAACCAATCCCAATCGATCATGTTCGAAATGCTTTTTCTCAAAAGAGCCCCCTTCATGCGAATTTGCAGCCTCGGATTCCATTTCCCTAGCATAGGTATCGCAGGCTCCCATTGAAGGACACATCTCAGCCGGTGGCAAGCAAGTGGGCCAGCTGCCGGAGACTCCATGACCCTTTAAAGGGGTCGTGACCTCTTGCTTTGGTCAATTCACCTGGAACCTAAAACCACGCTTTTCTTCCATTTGCTTAAGCGCCCTGGAAAAAATGAACATATTTCCAACAGTCACAGATCCCATTTAAAACCAACAGGGCAAAATCAAACATATTCATTTCAGCAAATGGAAGTGTTAAGAATAATGTTCTTTCCGGTGACGGTGACCTCCTTTTCCGGATTCCGAGTTTTGCAGGGGAGCCACGACCATCATGACCCCATTTCCTTTTCGGATGGAGACTTCCCCTGCTTCGGCGCGCCGTTTTCTCATGGCCGTTGCGACAGCTTCGAGTCCATCTCACCGTGCCGGCCGAAGATGGCGCGCAAACCGACCCGAGAAATTCCATTCCCTTCGCCTCACCTCAGCCACCGGAGAGATTCGTCCCATTGCTCAGGGCTCACGAAAAATAAAAATAAACCAAATGAGTCACGATCAAAACTCGAGATTAAAATGGTCTACCCAGAACCATGATCTCAGGGATACTCCCCAAACCAAGCGTTGATCAGCTTGGTGGTTTCCCGCGCTTGAAACGAGCGCCACTTTGGTAGCTTCCCTTGAAAATGGCGGGGAAATCCAGTTGCTCGAACCTTCCTAGACAATGCGTGGTATAACGGTAGAACCTGATTAGTGAACCCCGTCTGAAAAAGCGCCGCCCAGTTTTCCGAGACGACTGCCAGCCGATGCTGCTTTGAAGCCGCCCACAAGGATAGGCCAAAAGAGCCCGCTCAATGCTTTTTTGGGGCACCCCTCTCATTGAAGACACCCCGTTCCGGCCCAAATCTCAGAAAAGAAACTAAAACGTATGTTTTTCAATTAGCAAAGCTATTGCCAATACTCTTGCCAATGCCAACCCCGTCTCAAGAGTTGCCATTCCAGAAGTACATATACAACGACTAGCCGGAAACAGCAATTTATTGATAGAATGTGTAAAAAAAGAAGGAAACAAAAGAAGGAAAAACAAAAACGCAAGGTGTTACAAGCCCGTAAAGGGTACCCCTCCCCCTTCAAGGCTAGGCCCTGAATAACACCAAACTCCCTCCGATATATCAAGTGCCTCTGCAGCCCTGGAAAATCATAAGCCTATCCTACATCCTCCAGATTTGAGAGGTTAGAATAGGGCCGTGTTTTTGTTCTTGTTTTCCGGTAGTCTATTTTAGTACGGGAACCCTCCCAACCAAAAAAGGGGACAGAAGGGCACCTAGCTGGGGGACCTAGTATTGCAAGTCTTTGGAAGAACAGGGGTCCGGGAGCCCCAGAGGACCCCCAAAATCTGGCTCTCCAAACCTTGTCGACCTTGAGGGGGGGAGGTTACTCATCAAGTTCCACCATTTTTATTTACACGCATGGACTCATGGGTGAAGTCTTAGTATTAAAAACCTATCCAGAAACTTAGGGAGTGACGATTCACGCCAGCCCTTCCGGACGGCCCAGGCCAAGGCAAGATGAGAAAGAGTGCGGCAGCGGTGTACGAAGCGCGATCTCGGGTGCAAAGCGGATGGGCCAAAACGATACCCTCACTCCCACTAACATGGCACCTGACAGAGGGTCCCTTGAAAAGGAAAGTTATCTTCCAGGTACCCTCCCACAGATGCTATGTTTGTGGGAGGAAGGGTAATTCCGATCGGGATTCTTTTCGTAAGGCAAGTACAGGACAACGGATTGCCTTTGAACAGCCCAGCGAGCAAGTTGAGTAAGCATCGATTCTCGAACTGTACTTGTACATCCGCAAGCAACCGCATTCACGACATGTTCTGGCTGCGTCTGTACAAACGGCAGCAGCTGCATGTGCCATGAAGCTCCGATCGCGCGTGGCGAATTTCGTGAATTTCTAAGGGTCCTGCGAGCCCTATGCAAGTACCTTGTAAGCAGGCATTAGACCAATTCTAACCCCGAAGACCATCCTCAAAGGATTCAACTCAGGTGAAGGAATCATGAGGCCTGTGAATCTGCAAAACCGGAAACAAGGAATCTGAACCTGACATCTGTCATATATATGAAATTATATGTCCGAAACCAAAGAGGGTCCAAGAACGTTGAGGATGTGATTTCAAGGTTAAGCTTAACGTGGCCTAGAAGGTACTTGGACTCTTCAGCTCAAATAAGGAATCCTCCAGGAAAAGACCTTCATCATAAATAGTTGTCCGGGTAGATGAATCATGACTCTAACTCGATGTTTCCCTAGGAAATGAGCTAACCTTTTCAACTCACGAGCCAATTGGCTAACTAGTCGAAAACTAGCATCGAATCGTGGTTCATCTGGTGAGCTGGTTATTATCTGGCAGGGCTTGAGCATGCACGGCATACCTTTTCGGTCAGTTTCCTTTGGGGGATTGTGCAAACACCCAGTACGAAGCGAGATAATTACTTGTGGGGATTGTGCCCAGCAAATCCAATGTTCAATGGCCCATGCAACCTCTGCGACCCACCAGGCTTGCAACTTGAGCCCTGTCGTCGGAAAGCCAGGCGAGACGCAACGCAGAGACCAATCCGGCCTGCGTCAAAACGTTTCCTGGAAAGGGAAGGCTAGCTAGCTCTAATTTGCCAGCATCTTGGTCGCCTTGGTCTTGAACAGCCTTGATGGGGTGAGGACAGAAGGCTTAATTGATCACATCTGGCTAAAACACAATCACTCGCCAACAGAAAAGTCAGGACTGTGAAAGAGGTAGAACCAGCCACGCAAATGGCCCTTTGGGGGGGTTGGACGCTGCTCATGTGTAAGGTTGCAACCCCCTGCTAGGTTTCTATCGTTTTCCCAGATTGCATCAGCAACTTCGAGAATCCGAAACCTGAAGCAAGAAATGCATCACCACAGAACCATAAGCTTTCCCTCGTTTTACATCGGTGAGCTCGGTACCCGACTCAAATCAGAGATGCTTGTTCCCAAGGCAGCCAAGGACAGATCCCACTCTGGTAGAACCTGCGCACCTTCTCCGCGATAAATTGTGAGGACAATCCGGCAGTCAGCAGACTGGCGGCATATTTGCTTAACGGACCCATTGAACGGGTCCGATCGTATGCACAGGAAGTGTGTGGCATCCAATGTCAGAACCCATTTGCGATCGAACCTTCCATTTGCTTAAGTTCTCCCCCCCCTTCGTGAAAAATGCGCATGGACTCCCGTTAATCAGCAACCAAGGGGAAATGAACATTCTTAGGCATAACACCACGAACCCCTTCAACGGGTCATTAGATGTCGACATTAAAACCAATCGGCTTCCAACTCAACAGGCTTCCATCGAGCGCGGCGTGGAGGCGGCCTAACCCCTCGCCCTTGGAGAGGGATACAAAAGCAGAACATGTACACGAAAGAAGGCACAAAATAATCGATGGCGAAACTAAAAAGGAACTGCCCAATGCTTCAACATGCGGTAATTGACACCTCCGCGGGACCCCTCAGCTCAAAAACCGAGTGCCAAGTATCCAGAAACCAACTCTTCGGGAAACCTCGGTTCAACTGAGTCCACGAGTTTTTCTGGCATAAAAATGGTCGTCAAGGGCGACTCTGACTTCCCGGGATCAAGGGCCAGGGGTGTGTTCCCTGCGCAGGGCGCTGTCGGTCAGAAAACTGCGATCCGTGCCGCCAGGCCCACTTGAGCTTGTTTCACCCAGGTCACGTCCTACCAGCAAACCAAACCCTCCCAGGCAATGACCCTGAGTCATTAAGAAACCGGTTCTTGTGCTGCTATATGGAACAGGTGTTTTTGTTGGGTTTTCCTGTACCCCAAGAAAGGGCCCACTCAAAAGCAAAGACTCCATGCCATGGTCGGGATCAAGGCAATCCTGGGCCATCGGAGTTTCCGTTCAACGTGGTAACCCAAGGGTCCCTCAGCAGGTTGAAAACCCAAGCAGCACGCCCGCTCGAAGGCGCGCGATCTCCGTGCGATGTCCAGGGCAAGTTCTTGCCACTCCGTCTAGAGAGGGCAAATGCGACTGAAGCGCCCTGTCCGACACCGAAGTCACTCCATGTCCACACCAGGAGTCGTGCCAAAAGCAAAGTGGAGCAAGCTGCCAACAAGTGGCTCCCAGGGCAACGTCTGTCCATCAAATGGACAAAACTCCGGGCTGGTTCCAACAGAACAAAGGTTGAGTCTGACCTGTGGGTTCAATGGAGAAGCCATTCCAAGGTCTCTCAGGCCTTGGGGTCACATAAAAGACTAGCCCTGCAAGGTCCACAACCAACTAACCCCAAGAAGGGTCTTGACCATGGCATGTGAGTCACGATCAAAGCCTGGTGTGAAAATGGTCCACCCAGAACCACGTAAAGAATTAAGAATGCTGATATCCGCAACACCTTCACTTCCCCGGGTTTTGATGGTCACTCATGCATAACATCCTGGCGCGAATTTCTGCGCGCGCACCTGCTCCCAACAGATCAGACGTTGGAAATGCTCGAGGCACTGATCTGGCGCAGCACATCAGCGTTGCACCCCTGGCAAGGCGGGAAATACTATGTCTCCACGAGGAAATCTACACTTCACAAATCAACCAGGTGGATATATGGGGGTCCGTCCCCAAAAGTGAAGGTTTTGGTTCCCCTCTCAAGGCTTGACAGCCCCTATCAACCAAGCAGGGGTTGATTTAGCGGGGCCGTTCGCTTTCCCGCACTTCACCCTGGACAACGACCAGTGAGCTGCTAGTAGGCATGATCATTTTTTGTGTAACCAGGTCTACTAACCGCTCTGGGTTGCTTCAAAATGGGGAAATCCCCAAGGTACTCGGTAGTGAGAGACGATCAGGGAAACCGCCACCATCTGCAGTGATTCCCACGCAAGGCCTCCGAGGCCACCAAGCGTATTGGGCTCCCAAGGATTTATACCACCCTGAAGCCAAACGGAAAATGGATCGAAGGGTCACCTGTGGATAATTGCGAAACTCATTTCGCACCACCGTTCAGAAACCCTGGAATGATTCGATTCCCCTTAAATGCCAACAAGCAATGGTTTCAACCATGGTTTCACTTCGTTGTGCGAACGGATTTCTCCAACCACCCACAGTATGTGCCGAAACGCCTGGGATCCCCTGTGCGTAAGTAAGTTGACCTTACTGGCGTTGCATCTTCGGAAGTCTTCAAAGGCCTTGGGACGGTTGGTTGCCTGTGGTTGCCGACTGACGTACAAAATAGAGGACCGGTAAACCAGAAAAAGAGAGGCTTCAAAAAGTCAGTCTAAAGGTCCGTTCCCCATTCTCTTCATGCGCGGTTCTCTCCATAAACCGCCCATTTGTCTTGGGGTTTGAGCTATGTTTTCAAAGAGAAGGATCAAGCTGCCCATATTTCCCTTCACGTCACTCTAAAGGAAACTCACGGATCAAGTACTGGCCACCAAAAGCTCACTAAATCCTCCAGTAGAGAGGTTAGAATAAGGGTACCCTTTTCTCCGTAGTCTATTTTAGTAGGGGAACCCTCCCCAAAAAAGGGGAGAGAAGGGCACTGGGGGACCTAGCTCATGTTTAAAAACGACCCCAAAGAAAAACATGGGAATCGCTGAGGTACAGTCCCCACGCCTCCTCCTTCTCCTCGTTACAGCGCAGCAGCCTCTGCGGCGATGCGCCTCTCGGGGTAGGCAGTTCAGAGGTTCCCACAAAACTGCCACTTTTGGAGGTCCAAAAAAGGGACCTTGAGGGAGCCCTGGACCAAAAAAGCGCAAAACCTAGAAACAGCAGTGAAGTGGTGCGAAGCCCAAAAAGTTCAAGTGCTCCATATTTTAGGTTCGGAATTCTTGAAGTACAGATCCCGAACACATCCGCAAATATGACTCGGTACCAAGAGACCCCCGGGAAGGGGTTTCACCAGAACTCGCCCGCGTTTTCGTGGGGGGGGCCTGCTTTCAGACGCTTCTCTTGTCGAACGGTCTCAGTTGGAGTTTCCTCCACTGGGGTGGTCAAGGCAAGGGTATCCATCGCCAGAAGGTTGCAATGCCCTCGTGGCTCTGGGAGTTGCGCAAGATGAGATCGCTCAGGAAAAAGGGCGCCTTTCTGTTGATCGTCGATTGCAACAGCAACAAAGGGGAATCACGTCACACTCCCAGAGGGTGCAAGTACCCTTCAAGGATGGCTTTGAACGAGTTAACGCCGGGGTCTTCACATCCTCGGGTACCAAGCGCCCCTAATCCTATCCCCAACCGCTCCAAAAAACGAAACAAGCAAACACACACACACACACACACACACACACACGAAAACACACAAAACCGCCGGCTGAAAGCTACCACCCCCTTTCCACCCCACAAATTGAACATTTTCCAGAGAGTCCAAGTACCTTCTGAGGATGGCTTTTGTCTGGGTTTGAGTTGTCTGCCTTGCGACAAAAAACAAACAAACAAAACAGATTCGGCGCCCCGCCTCCGGAGTCCTGCGGCGTGTTCCAAGTGAAGGCGGCGCTGGCGATGGCGCCCAAGACCACCAGAGCCAAAGCCACTGCGCTGCAGGCGCTCAGGAACTCGCTCCTGAGACTCTGGAAGCTTTGGGCTGTTTGTTTTTGAGTTTATTGAAAACAAACGGACATCACAAAGAAAGCAGAAAAAACGAAAGCGAATGTTTCCTATTTGTTTGCTTGATTGTTTGTTTCTTGGTTTGTTGATTTGTTTGAAGGTACCTTTGGGTTGCTAAGCAACCAGTGACCCCATTTGTTTGGTTTCGGACAACTTGGAAAACCCTTTGCTGAGTCTCGAGTGGAATGTACCAATTTGGGTGAAGCAACCCATGACTCCATTTCCCTAGTTAGTAGGATCCCAACTCTCCCCCAAGCCCATGGTGGAAAGAGCCTACCTGGGGTTGGGGATGGTCTTGGACATAGGAATTTAGACAACAATCCCCGTGACTCCATTTGCCTGGTGTTGTAGGCCCGCTCCTTGTCATCTGAGACGGTACCATTTTGGGTTGGCTAAGCCGGTGACTTGTTCCATTGGTTTTGGTCAGGGATCATAGGGAACCAAGGGAACCACCCTTTCCACGAAACTGGCGAAGGGTTACCCACTCCGGGGGGAACTGGGATCTGTGGGGAAGGCCTTGGGCTGTTTGACCAGGTCTGTCAAGCCCCGCCTTGCCCTGTGTTGTCCCCCAAAACCAAAAGGGCTCAGACTGCCAAGACGGTCCAAACCCAAAAAGGGGCGACAGTTTGTGGTTGGGGGGACAACACAACCCCATTACTAGGTCCTCCAGTAGAGAGGTTAGAATAAGGGTACCCTTTTTTTCTGTAGTCTATTGTAGTGGGGGAACCCTCCCAACCCAAAAAAGGGGAGAGAAGGGCACCTGGGGGACCTAGATTATATATAATACAAAAATACTCAGGTTTGGAAGCAGGGCACCCACCACACCCGCAGAGGGGAAATTTGCTTAACAGGCCGCAAATTTGGCGGAGGGTGGATTCTCCTAACATCGGTTGGATTTAGGCAAGCAGCCGAGGGAGAGATGGTGACCAAGCGCTAGAATTCCCAAAAAGGACCTGCAAATAAAGACATTCCCTGTCTACCACCGCCTTCTCTCTACACAGCATGTCCTGTCACTTTCTGGTATGAGGAAGGAAACCGCGAAGAAGGTATCCAAGAGATAGGAATTGCCGTCCAGAAAGGAATTCCCGGGAATCTCAACACCTTCTTCCATCAGCTTCTTTCCGCACCCATTGACCAAGCGATAGATGGTGAGGTAGAAAGAAGGTGGAGAGGCACACCAACATGCTTTCCAAACTTCATGTCATTTTACAGGGAAGGGAAGTCCCTGCATATTGCAGGAACTTGTCCTAAGCAGTTTTCCGCAACCATGCTTCATGCCGACTGATTGATCAACCCCCCACTTGTTGAGCTGGGCTCTGGGAGATCCTTTCTTCCAGGGGCACCCTGATTGATACCTGGCCGGGGAGGTCTCAATCAGGGCTCAACATTAGGCTCAGTTGCCCCATAGTTGCCCCTTAGGGACCCAGAAATGCAAGGTTCACCTTTTGAAACCTTGACTAACAATGGACCAAACAGGGGGAACCAAAAGGTGATCAAAGGTCGATCGCTTTGGACAATTGAGGGGGGTGTCAACATGTCTAGCTGTGCCCTCCCCATTCTCTTCAGGGATCCTTCTCTTCAAATAATTTGCAAAAAATCTGGAAAATACCGTGGTTTCTTAAGAGAGCGACGGGTGAGGAGAATGGGGAAGCAACCCACACAACCCTAAAAAGATCTAAAAAAACTAAGGATCCGGAGGGCTGGGGACCCTCTAAGTACCAATGGACCAAACCGGGCAGTTGATTTTTCACGCCGATTGGCGTTGGCAACCTTTTGAGGGGGTCTGCCGGGCGGGCCCATGGGAAGCTTTTCTCGCCGAGGGCTCGAGGAGCTCAGCATCAGCACGCCCCCGGCGACCAAGAACAGCAAGAGCCAGCGCTGGAAGGCGCTTTGGTCCACTTGCGCGGCCATGCGATTCCCCACCTCCGACGGCACAACCAAACGGCCTGAGAAAATGGCCACTTGGGGCTGTTCGGTCAAGCTATGAAGTTGCAACCTAGGTTACAACTGGGCGATTGCCGAAAATTGACCTCTTGGGTGTGCGGTCAAGTTGGTAAGTTGAAGGTAACCGTTCGGATAGAAGCGACTTGTAGGTGCCCCTAAGTGGGGTTAGCCTTGTTGTTTGGGGGGTCGAACCACTTTCGATCTTGGCCGAGCATCCAAGTAAACCTCCTAGATGTGTTTGTTTTACTGGGCTAGAAAAATAAAACTATGTATCACCCAAGGCGAAGTCTGTGGGTGCTCAGAAATGGTTTGCCTGAACCTCCTGCATGCTTAACAACAAAGGACCTGGGTTTCTAACCCTATTCAAAGCCAAGCAGAGGCGGCCAAGAAACAGTCCAACAACTAGTGCGCGAAAACCCAGCTGCGATTCTGCTTAGCAAGTTTAGCCGCGTAGCCTAACCCAGTCGATCCATTTACCGGTTTTGGGCAGCTAGCCAAGGGGTTTCGCACCCTTTTATAATCAAAAGGAAAATGCTGGTTGCTTACTACAGGGCTAACTGGGATCCACTGGGATAAAATATACAAATTGGTTAGGAGGCGAGCCCAGTGAAGAGAACACACAGTTCTGGAAAAAAAGGGTGGATGCGCTGGGGGCCTTGTTTTTCAAAACCCAGTGGAAGGTTTCATGGCTTGGCTCACTTGGTTGGAGAGTTACTTGGGATTGGATTTTTCGGAGCAAGCCTTTAAGCCTTCGAGTCCTAAAAAGATATGCCTTTTGGGTGGGTTTCTCAAGGCTTTTCAGGAAGGAACCCCTTGCATCCTAGCATCCTTTGCACCCCACTGCACCTCACCCAGATGCCATAAACCCTCCAATAGTTCAAATATGTTTTGATCGAACAACCCAACCCTCCAAAAACAGGCAGAAAAAGGGCGGCAATCCTCAAGACGAATCTTGCAGGAACCAACAACCCGCCCAAAACAACCGGAAACACCGGGTGAACCGGAAACACCGGTGAAGGAGGGGGGGGCCTGCGCGAAAACCGTCGCATCTCGAAATATATATATATATGTATAGATGTATATATATATGAGAAAAAAGAAAAGAATAAAAAAAAGGTTCGCGCCTGAAGCCCAAGAACGCCCCCACTCATCAGCGCCACATAGATGGGCCAGTTTTGCCGCTCTAGCTGGTGGTCCATGCCGCCTCGAGGGGACTCGTAGCTTGTGGCTAGGGCGCCGGGCCAGGTAGGCGCATAAAAGCAGACATGGGGGTTGGAGTTCAGTGGCGCTTTGGGCTTCTTGGAAGCCAAGCAAGGCACTAACTCAACCTGCTTGAGGTGCCGGTGGTTTATATGCTTCTAGGTTGAAACTCAAAACAGACACCCGTATCTGAAAAAACACATCAATCTGAGTGCAACAGAAGGAGAGCTTCCGGGTAGCAAGAGCAACACTTCCACTGCCTGGAAGAAAACATGGATCCCCTACTTTCCACTTATCACTATAAGTAACCAGGGAGGACATCATGGAATACCTAGAAACCAAACAGGGAACTGAGGCCTGGGTTGCCTTGGCCAACGTTTTTTCCACGTATGGCGACGCCACTGCTTGAATCTGATAGATCAAGCAACATCTTGCTTAGGTGTATTCATCAGCCGCATTTTCCCAAAGCCCACGCGCTTGCCTGTAAGCACTAGGATGTTCAAGATTTGCTCAAGAATATGCAGACACTGTTGCGCAGGCTGTCGGCAAGTGGGCAAGAGGTCCCAGGAAGGAAGCAGGGGAGCTCCCGACAAAACGTAAGCTTTCTGCTTGCAGGCGGCAAGTGTATTTTTTCGAGGCCTGGCGCCATTATTAGACAGCCACTGGAAAAGAAGCAAGCGTTGTGAGAAATCTTTAGGCCTTGGCTCTGGAATGCTTTCTGGGAGTCACGCTCTGGTGCTCGGTGATGGAAAGACATAAGTTTCCAAAGGCTATTATTAACTACAACAGGGTACATGCTTTTAACGAAGGTTATTTGCGTACATTGCATCGCTTCGGCGCAACTCTTTTTCACACCGTGTGTTTGTTTTGAGCCACCTCTAGGCAAGCAACAGCTTGAAAAGGGTCTTTGACCGGCTTCACGTGCAAATCTACTGCGGGCATCTGAAATGTTGCTTTCCGAGACTGTCCGGCTCGAGTGACGATTTGACGGCGAAAAACCCTCAAAGGTTACACCTGCTGAAAGGCAAATTATTGAAGCCTTCTGTCAGCTCCTTCGATCGTCCGACCGCCTTCCGTCCGTCGTCCGTCCGACCGTCCACCCAGTCCAGCTGAACCCGGCATGCTTTGACGAGGGTCCCAAAAAAGCCGTCAAATAGGCCGAAAAAACCGTCCAAAAGGCGGAAGCCCGTCCGTCTACCCGTTGTTGCTCTTTGGCCTTTTTGGCCCTTACTTGTTGGAGAGGGAGCAAATTTGGGTTTGCCTTTGACAAACTGCGCGCTCAGTGTTGAGTCGGGGCTGCAACGGACTTTGCGCAGTACTTAGTCTCACAGCACTGCAACGTTGACCCAATGCTTGGCCCCGTGCCCATGTTTGATTGACACTAAAACACTTGCGTGACACAGTGCTCCTACGTGCAAATAATTTACTGTGTTCGTCCCTCGTTGTGTCCGCGTCATTGGCTCTGAATTGCTCACTAGCAACGCCATGCACCTAGGCGCGCTGATGGAGTTGAACAAGTGTTACCCCAGTGTGGGAGCGACGGCGCTACTTGTCAACGTACACGCCCGTGCTGGCACGCCTGCTGTCGTAGTTGCGTGAAAAATACTGCATGGCCTACATGCATTAACTCCTTCGTTGCGCGTGACAAAGTGTGCCCAGAGCACTGCAGTGCTCGCTACAGTTCGAAGCGGTTGTAGCTTTGCCCCTTTGGCCTAGCTAAGTTTGATTACCCCAGCAGGATTCAAGCTTGGTGTAAGTCCGTCTTTTGCAGTTACTAAATGAGCAGACTTACATTGCATGTCATGCATGAGTAGTCTGTCCAAAGCCAGACTCTGGCAGCTTTATCACAAACTCATGACGCTGTCCTTTTACCCTACGCCACACCCCACGCACATCAATGCGGCATTTGTTCCATCTATACTATGGTAAGCAGGAAAGAGACTCATGTGACCCCTTCTTGTGTCACAGTGCCTTTTTTTGCACTTGTGACCTCCATTTATTTTGACCCCACGAAACCCGGAGGCCATTTTCGGGGTCACCTTTTCGCCGTTCCTTCCGCGGGTCCGCGCGGGACCTCGCCTAGCAGCAGGCCCTGGGTGAGCACCATGGTCACGCGCACGGTGTTGCTGAGGCAGCGCCACACCGAAGGCTCCACGGAGAAGAAGAGGAGCAGCACCATGAAGGGAGGGCCTCACGAAACAAAGAATCCTCCGTGAACCTCGGGAAGGATGCTTCGTTCCCCAAGAAATTCCGTCCAGGGACAGGAGCATAGGTGTCCGTTTAGGGCAAATAGATGGGCTTCCCTGGTAGATGAGTAAACCACCAGGCAAGCCAGGAATCGCCATCTATTTTTCCACACAACAAATGGACACCTATGCTCACGAAACGAAGAACCGAACCTATGATCCCCAAGTTTGGGAACAGGAGAGTTTGGGTTAGATGGGTAGAAAGGTTTGTGCCCGAACCTTGCTAAAACCATGAGGGGTGGGCCTGATGCACACAGATTCGGCAGCCATTTGAATCAAGGGAGCCCAGTTGAGGTTCCTGGGTGAAGGCTTCAAAAGGGGGCTGGATGGGCTTAGGGAAGCCAGCCCATCTGCAAGCTCTTCAGCTAGTTGACTCAGACATGAACAGCTTATAGGCCTTCTTTGCTGATAGCCATCCAAAAACCGTCCTGTCAGCTGTGAATATGTGCCTGAACAAGGGCATACAAGCAACACGAAGCCAACAAGGTCCCATTTAAGGGGAGTCTTGGGGGGATTCCTGGATCCCTCACAGGTGCATTAGCTAGATCGTCCAGGACTCAACTATATATAACCAGATAGTAACCCTCAGTTAACGCCCACTCAACACCCTGTAAACTGCAAACCCTTGTAAGAAGGGTTGCAATAACTCTTTTGCAATCACCCAGAAACCCTCTAAGTACCTATAGCTTGGGGCTAGATGCTATGCTGCTCATGACCAAATCATATCATGAAAGTATCCGACGATCGGCAATCTGAGTTTCCGGAACTGTTTGCCATCTAACCCGCAAAAAGGCTTGGTTCCATAGGTGTCCTTTTGGGGCAAATACACGGCCTTGGTAGATGACTAAACCACCAGGTAAACCAGGAATCGCCATCTACTTTTCCACCAAAACAACCAAAAAGGACACCTATGCTTGGTTCCCTTTCGGATTGATTCCCTTTAAACCAACCCAAGGGGCAACTCCAACCACAAATCGGTACCCGTCACTCCAACTCGTGGGCGTTCCCTGGGCCAAGGAAACTCCGATTTTCCCGATCTCTGTGGTGGGGGTTTACCCGAAATGGCCCACACTGAACTAAACTCAACTCAAGTCCAACTCCTCTGTTTCCCCACTAGGTCCTCCAGTAGAGAGGATAGAAT